TTTAGATCTGGAGAGTATTAAGCGGTAGGCAGCGGCTTGGCTCTGACCCTGGCATTGCTGATGTCCATGAGCGACGGTAACCATTCACCATCAGGTAGACCGTGCACTAGTCTGCCTGCACGGGCAATAAAAATTATATTGTAAATACCTTACGCAACCTTACGTTTCAGTGTGCTTAGTGAGAGTTTTTTAACGTTCACGATAGCGTAAAAGTTAACTCGAATTTGTATGCAGTTGGAACAGCGCTCCAAGCGGCAAACGTAGGTAAACACACAGTGGCTATCATTCATTTTGTTGTCTATGGACTACAATTATATCGTCACACGACAAGCTTGCAAGCACCGCAGACTCAACTGTTCATTAACAACAAACCAACCAACTCCATATTTTAAGAAAAACAAAAACAAATATATTCATACGAAACTTTATTTGCATAAATAAACACAATGTCACTATCGTTGACTACAATAAATAAAAGTCTTTTCCAATTCCAATGAGCTGCCGAAAACTATAAAACTTAAAATATTCTCTCCTCATCGTAAATACGTAACGCAGCAACGAGGTTAACCGGAGACGACCGGAGAACCCCGGATACTCCCGAGCGGCGCCGAAGCGTCCCGATCGCGCCCGACCGACGCGGAACACACTCGCTTTTACGTTACATAATTACGCTAACTACTAACACTTTATTAAATTTAAACTAAACAAAGCTACTTTCTAATATTATATGGTAACATATTGTGATGAAAAAAGAAAATTAGGAACGTTACATATAATTTGATAAGAGTTTTTTTTAAGTACAAAACAAAAAAAATGTGAGAAATTTTTAAGCGAAACTACTGCGCATTAGCCCTTTTAATCGTGAATATAGAATTTCGCTTTGAGCTCAGTCTGAAGGTAGCGTCATACTTTTTTATTGATTAATGAGATTCAAAATTGATTATGTCAACAAAGCGACGTTATCTTCAGTGCTACACGAACTCAGTGCTTATTGCGAGTTTTTTTTTTTATTCTAGCAAACGCTGTTCCAACTCCATACAACACTTGAGTTAACTTTTACGCTATCGAGAGCGTTAAAAAACTCGCACTAAGCACACTGACGTCACCCCCAAGCAAACAAACACATCTAACAGCTTAGAGCTCTAAATCAATTATCATAAGATCGATTTATCGAAGCGACCACAACTAGCCGCCACGTTTATATCACTACAAGCTTTAAATATGAGGCGATCGCCCATATTTGGCTAATAACTCGGCTAACAGCACCGTCACTGTCATACGACTGTCAAATCTTTACTATTATAGGTTATGCATTTTTTTTATTTAGTTTAAATCGTCAAGGGTTACACATTGAAAAGCCGAAGTTAATTTATGCTCTCTTACACCAGTTGCACAAAACATATACATACATCGGTAACGGTAATCTTTTAACATCAATTTTATAATTACAACGAATTTACCTAAATCAGCCTTATGCGAACCACAATGCACAAATCATGGAAGCTGTCACGAAAAAAAAACCAAACAATGAAATTCACCAATTTCACATAACGTTTTTTATCTATCTTTCCATTTACCTTAGGCCGGTTACCTTATTTGCAAATGTTAAATCCACTTCGCAACATACCTTGAAATACAAAGGCATTGAATAGTTTTTTTATAGAAAACAATTTACTTGTAACATTGTTCGGTTTCCGGTAACTATTAAAAGAGCTTTTCATTAACGATATAGAAATATTTGCACAGCTGAGGAAATTGGAGGTATTTTTCTTTCATGCTAGAGAGAGAGAAAGAGAGAGAGAGAGAGCGCACTAGCATGCTATGACGTCAATGTTCAAACTTACCCTAACACTCCCTTGTACGAAGAGAGCACTTCAGTCCCCACCAAGAACCTTAAGTAACGTATCTTAAAGTACCAGCGAATCACATAGATTTTATTATTACACATTACTCCTATGTAAAGGATATGTGTGTCATACTTACAATCACCAAATCACAATATAATGAATTGTGACGTCAGAGATACTAACTGAATTCAGTCAGTGGTATCAATTGCCTATTCTTTTGAGAAATTCCAACAACAGCTTTCCGTGTTGATGATGTAGTCAATAAGCCAGATGATTCTACAATGTGTTTGTGAAAGGCAACTCCTCTGTTACACCCGTAACACAGGAGAAGATCCTAGTGCGGGGTTGTAAGATGTGGGTCTTAGACATATATATCTGTGATGAGTGATATATTTGTTTTCTCTTTTAAATCTAAATTAGTTTATCACCAATTAGCCCGTTTCTATGATTAATTGAATTTCAATACTTTCGCCGGTCCTACTACAAGCAAAAACAGTAATCAATTATTTACAGATATGTATTGTTGTATACAATTTCTTATTTACCCTAAAAATTATATTTAGTTAGGTACTTACTAATTAAAAAAAAACATGTACTATTTTTCGCTTTAGTCTTTTTGAGACACACGTGAATTGCCTAGTCTTTTAGTGTTTGTTAACTTTACCAAAATTATCGTGATACATATAAACGTCGTATATAATTTATTCAATAGTTTTAATTTATCAATTATTCTAATTATCCCCAAAAAGGTCGAACGAACGTTTCATAAACCACAAATAAAATTTAAAGCTATATTAACATATGTGTTTTATAAGCTAATTGCTGATTGGTCAGCGCGAGCCCCCAAACCCCCTCATCCCCGCCCGCGTTACGTCACAACATGCCGCAAAATTTAACCCTTGTCATTGGTTCCCGCTGCCGCGAAGCTATGAGCGCGACATTAATATAATATGTATTTTATAAGCTAATTCCTGATTGGTCAGCCCCCCAACCCTCCTCATCTCCGCCCGCGTTACGTCACAAACGCGGCAATACGAGCGCGATACTTAACAATTAAAAATATAGTAAATATATATAAAGATAATGCCCTAATTTAAAGATACTAAAAGAGATTCATTCGGTCGCCGTATTGCTGCCTCAACCTCAAGGTCACGTCCGACAGCTGAGAACGTACTCATTTTTTATTGGCCTACATTTACGAACAAGTACCGTAAAATGGGGTAAATAGGGACAAAATCGAACTTCAAATTGAATTTTAAAATAGTTCCAATTAAATAGTCACTGCTCAACCAAAGAAATAAGTTGAGTCTTGAACGTACCTAGGTGATAAAAACCGTTACATTATTTTAATTATTCAATTTAAAGAAATAATCGGAAATCGGAATTTCCGATTATTTCTTTAAATTGGAATTCGTCGGAATCGACGAATTTTTGGGACCAACTTAACTCATATTTAGTACTTCCATAGTTAACTTGGTTTTTCTTCTATACATTGATAAATATTAACATAAACAAAATTAGGTAGATTCTGTGCTATAGGTACTTTGAGAATCTTCCGCAGGTTTGTCCCAATTTACCCCATGTCATGGTAAACCGCTTGAGGGAGCGTCGCAGCGTGCAGTTCATAAAGCTTATAAATTATCATCTGTGTGGTTAGTGCGAGTTTTTTAACGTTCTCGATAGCGTAAAAGTTAACTCATATTTGTGTATGGAATGGGATCGTTTGCGTACGTTTGCCGCTAGGGGCGCTGTTCCAATTGTATACAAAATTGAGTTAACTTTTACGCTATCGAGAACGTTAAGAAACTCGCACTAAGCATACAGATCCCTAACCGTGAACACAGGAAAACAGCGAAAATTGGTCAGTCTTAGACGCGACGAATCAATAATAGCTCGGTATCTACACGAACATCTTAGATATTATATCCTAATATTTATAATAATTGTAACTGTAACAAGTACAAAAATTTTAATACGTCACACGAATACGTTATTTTGGTATAGATGCCAATTTAATATCGTTAAAAAAATATTTAAACAACTTATTTATTTCAAAGCAACACCGCGATATCAACATATGGCAACAAAACGAAATCGAAATGTGAATATCGTCGTCATAAATTCGTATTTTATGACTTAATTAATGGCATTTGCTAATCGTCATAAAGTCATTAAATGTATTTTACAACATTTTTGGGCCGCGTAAATATTATACTGTTGATATAGTACAGTATATGTCTATATAATAACGATTATTATTTCGTCGACGCGTTTCTGATTTCAAAAAAGAAAAATTAAAATGCAATTATTATTTTGGTTAACGTTCAATTAAATATTTATTCAGAGACGGTTCAGTCGCGAGTCGAACCCGCATCCATCGAGAGAGACATTTAGAAAATACTTGCTCAATAATTACATTTCATTTCAACGTACTAATATTTTATAATGCAGCTAGTGCAAAATGAAGTTATACTTTTTATAATTTATTTCAAAATTAATTGTTTCTTCATTATATTACGCTACAATTGTTACGGGCCGCCTTATTAAATTCAAGTTTCGTAATAAAAAGCTTTCAGACACGCGCGCAGACAAGCTCACACAAAACTTTCAGGGTTCCGTACAAAGTTATTTCTAAATAACAACATTTACTTTACACGCCATTAGTCTTTTCTTTCAGTCTTACGACATTGTTCCCCCGCTGTAGGCCGAGAGCCGGCAGCGCCCCACGCTACTTGACTAGACACGCGCTACAAACATATTCCAAAACAAAACGAACTGAGAGGGTAGAAGACAATCGCCCTTTACACTCGGCTCGGCGTCAACTAGCTCCCGGACTATGAGCTCTTAAACCTATTTTTGGCAGTGATCAGCTATTCGTGATATATTTATCCTTCATATTCATTCAATATTACATTATGTTGAAGAGACAGACAATTTATTTATTTTTTATTTTATTCCTTAGATGTGTGGACGAGCTGACGGCCCACCTGGTGTTGAGTGGTTACCGGAACCCGTAGACATTTACAACGTAAATTTCGTCACCCACCTTGAGACATGAGTTCTAAGGTCTCACTTGTAACAGTACAACGGCTGCCCCGCTCTTCAAACCGAAACGCATTACTGCTTCACGGCAGAAATAGGCGGGGTGGTGGTACCTACCCGCGCGGACTCACAAGAGGTCCTACCACCAGTAAGACAATGGCCAAACACTAAAAACCTCACTCGGATAACATACTTAAAAAAAAATGTACTGTAAAAAATATTGTAAATACGTCGGTTGTAATTATTTTTTTTGGTAAATATTATTCTAATATAATGATACTAATTTTACACATGTTCACTAATTATCAAAAATAATTGTTCAATAATAATTATCAGTTTAAAATTTTAAGATATGTTAGGCCGTAGTAAATTAATTGTATCATTCACCGAGTATTAAACAAAAAACATCTTTATGCCGAAGACGATACGTTTCATTCTCACATTTTCAAAGTGATCACACATTACAATGATATAAAATCCAATCGATATTTAGGATCAATGTTTAAGTTATGCTATTTTACTTATATAATACATAACGAGTCTTATTATTATGTTTTGAGATCTATAAGCCAATTTAAATACTGATATTTCAGTTTGAAACAATAATACTATCGATAAAAAAACTTATCGAGTCCGAAGAGAGCGTTTTGCAATAAACTATCGATATTTAGACGCCTTAAATTATTAATACAAGAAAACTTAATCGATAAAGATTCGAATGAGAGTATTCTGTTAGTTAAATTCAACAATTAACGTCGAATCACGTGAGAGCGTTGTGTTTTTAATGGTTAGACCGCCCTTTATCGATAGAACGGTTGTCGATTCGCGGCGGCTGGCCTTAAGCGAGGTTCGACTTCGGCGACATCACTATGTAGTGATGTTCCATGGCGGGGGGCGGCGCCGCGGGGGTCATGGGGACGTACTCGCTCTCATCGTCCCTGAGTCTCACCTCGCACTCCTTGATGCTGAGCAGCAAGTCCACGATCTCCTGCGGCAGCGACAGCGCCTCTATTGCTTTCTCGTTGAACTGTATCGAGAGGTCCGCCTCGAAGTCGTCCAGGTATTCGTCGTTGCCCTCCAGACACTCGACCGACTTGGAGCAGCGGCTGGTGGCCACGTGCTCGGTCTCGTCCAAGAACTCGCAGCTTTTGGTCTCGACGTGGCCGAGGCCGGGCGCCGCCTTCTGGCTCTTGACCTTGCGGCTCACCTTGAAGCTCTTGAGTATGTCCCGGGTGGGGGCGAAGTCGAAACGTTTCTTTTTGGGCTGGATGTCCTTGTTGTCTTTGGGAGTTTCGGATTTAGGCGAACCCGCGACGCGCGAGTCGCTTTTTAGTCGTTTTCTGAAGAAGAAAAAAATTAATAGTTTGATGTCAAATACATGACGTCACGTGGTTATAGTTAATGACATTTCAAAAAATTTACATGCATGAAATAGAATTACCGTTTCTTTATTTTTCAATTGTGAGCTAAAATATGTAATTCTTATAATATATTACTTAATTTGGAAGTAAATAATTAAAAACTAAAAATGTTGTGGTGACGCCGAAGAATATAAAAATATTCCTTTGCCTTTCCGACATTGCGGATTTTTTATACTCTGTGGCGAAAATGTCAAAATATGTCATTACCTATCATTACAAAACAAAGGCGTCCGGGTTCCCAACGGACTTTTTGGCGGGAACGCGAGGAGTGAAGTTGTGTGATTTGTTTTATTTTGTCTATTTAGTGTTTCTTCAGGTTTAAATGTATAATAACGGTGGTTTATTAACTGTTTATTATCTGTGAAAGTGCACAAATGTTGGAAAATGAGACAAAGCCGCAGGACGTAACTTCTCGGGATCTTCCAAAAAGTCCACTAAAAAAGTGTCAATGACAACGACCATGATCATTTCCGGGCGGGGTGCGTACCTGAAGACGCTGAAGGGCTGCTTGTGCTTGTCCCGGCGCGGCAGGGTGAGGGTGTGCGTGAGGGTGTGCGGCGGGGCGCCCGGCAGCGCGCTCAGCGAGGAGTGTCGGGACACCAGCTGGGGGCGCGCGCTCCAAGGCTCGCCGGTCTTCAAGCACCTGGACCAAAGTGGAGCTGGTATTAAGTGGTTACTAGAGCCCATAAACATCTACAACGTTAATGCCGACACCCACCTTGAGATATAAATTCTAAAGTCCGGAAGGAAGTTAGCGTAGAATATATTATTTTTTTATTAAACGATATGCCAATTAATTGCTCTTTTTTAGTATAGTTTTGACAGTAGTACTGAGAGACAATAACTCTTTCCGCATCTCGTTAGTATGATCGTGACCGCGACGTCTGTACTAGATCGTGTGGGTCGGTCCCCCCAGCACCGACATCGAGGCTACATGTTGTGAGGAGGGGGGGAGTGGCTGTGTTGACCAATACATAGCCTATACTTCGGACCGTGTGTACCTGGGGGGCAGGGGGGGCGGGTGTCCGCGGGCGCGGCGCAGGGTCGCGTACCCGCACTCGGCTATACTCTCGTACGTGGGCTCATCCACGCTCAGCTTCTTCATCTGGAAACGATACACATTTTTTTTATGAAATATGTTGAGCGAGCCTGCAGCTCGTTAGCCACTCGACCTTTAGGCATGAGGGCCCTCTCACCCCACAGCGGTGAGGCGGCGCGGACTTACGTCGAGGGGCGGTGCGGCCCGCGGTCCCCTACCCATGGCGCAGTAGAGCGCGGGCGGCTCCGGTATCTCCTCGTACACGCCGGACGACACCGACGCGACGGAGCGGCGGTCGCACGCGCTGCGGAACCATATAGGTACATTCTTATGAGCAGACCGAACACACCACGCCTTACTACTCGATCTATCTCCATATATTCCATATATTACAATTTTAATTATATTATATTTCATCCCACATCATCTCATCTCATTACATTTAATTTCATGCCAATTATATGTGTTTCAAATTAATCAATTTCATTTCGTTTCATTTAATTGTATCATTTTTCATAAAAAAAGAGTATCAAAGATTAGGCTGAATGGTATGCGTACCTTTGCCTTTCCAATTGGAAAAATAGAACTGCTACGTCTTAAGTTTAACGATTTTGGTAAAAAGGGGTACAAAGTTTTTGCTTCGCATATTAATATATAGATTTACATTAGTACTAGTTGTCTGCATTATTGTAGGATTTACAATTCTTAGCGGTTCCCATACACCCAATTGAGGTTAAAGGTCGTCTATTGATAAGCAGCTTTGATGATAACCTGACGCGCGCCTAGCTGAGCGCACGGCCCACTTAACAATGGTTGTCAGAGACCAAGGACACAATCACTTGAATACCGCCACATCTGAAGCCATAAACTCCCAATTATACTATTCAATGGCTGTGCTAACATTAAACCAAAAGACATATGCTTTGCTGCAGACATACGCAGGGTGGTGGCTTGATTGGCGACCCACAAGACTAATATCATCAATGTTAGATTTTTTTTTTATTGCCTTTTTTATTGCTTAAATGGGTGGACGACCTCACAGCCCACCTGGTGTTGTGTTAAGTGGTTACTGGAGCCCATAAACATTTACAACGTAAATGCGCCACCCACCATGAGATATAAGTTCTAAGGTCTCAAGTATAGTTACAACGGCTGCCCCACCCTTCAAACCGAAACGCATTACTGCTTCACGGCAGAAATCAAACGTAGTTGCCTCGATCGGCGTAGTAAACTTAACGAAGCAGTAACTCAAGCCCCCCCCCCAGCAGAGAGTTAAATACCCCCCCCCCCCAACCCCCCTCCAATAGAGATAAGAGAGTCTCCCGACCTGTGGTCCAGGGGCGCGTGCTGCGCCAGGTGTCCGGCGGCGCTGCAGCGGGACAGCTGACCGGACGGGATACACTTGTAGTCCTGGACACATCACAACCACGCTACAGGTACAATCGAAACTACACTCGCGGTTTAATCACACGATTTTTACTGTATATATATATATTATTGCTTAGATGGGTGGACGAGCTCACAGCCCACCTGGTGTTAAGTGGTTACTGGAGCCCATAGACATCTACAACGTAAATGCGCCACCCACCTTGAGATATAAGTTCTAAAGTCTCAGTATAATTACAACGGCTGCCCCGCCCTTCAAACCGAAAGGCATTACTGCTTCACGGCAGAAATAGGCAGGGTGGTGATACCTACCCGCGCGGACTCATAAGAGGTCCTACCACCAGTAAAAAGATGCACAAAATGTTGACAAAATCCAGTCCAGAGACGAGAGTTGGACACAATCCTCCTCATACATTTCAATGACCGTCCTGTTCCTGTGAGACCCTCGGTCTACACCACGGTGCGCCACAGGACAATACTCACCTTGGACATGATCAGATCCATGTCATCTAAGGACACCTCCGAGGGACCGCTGTACCAGCTGCTGCGACGGATCTCCCCTGAAATGTGCACTTTATATTTACACATATATGTATGTACGTGAATTGAAAGAGAAGGGCAGCCCGATCAGGGAAACGCGGACATTTGAGACTGGATGGAATCCTTTCTTTTATTGCTGTGGATGAGCAAATTTGTATGCAATCGGAACAGCGCCCCTAGCGACAAACGTTCCAGCTCCATACAAATTTGAGTTAACTTTTACGCTATCGAGAACGTTAAGAAACTCGCACTAAGCACACTGGAGTGCAATAAAATATTTTTTTCTTCTTATTTTATTCTTTGGAAAAGTTCGCTTTTAGTCCCTGGCACGCGGGACAAAAGTACTCTATTCTCTCAGAGAGTTGAATCCCGGTCGAAAAAAAACGTGTGGCACTCGGGAACTGCCGCGGTAAAGCTATTGCATAGCATTTTTTATCAACTTATGCAATTATAATTAGACAATGATAATTTAATATTAAAACAAGAATAAAACAAGACCACGTTATATTAAACATTATTAAAAGCAAAACCTTAACTGTCCCCTTCACACTCATAAGCTAGACCGCGCGAGAGAGAGATGGGCAGACTTTTCATGATGCGCATGCAGCGTGACGTCACGCCACGCGCTTATTCGTAAACACTACACAAGCGCAACGTGTGAATGTGTTAAACGCGAGCTACATGGTAGGCGAAGTGAGGGGTGTAAGGTTTTTTTTCGTTATGGAATTTCATGATTCCGCTCTCAAGCCGCGCTCAAGTCCCGCGATAAAATCTATGCAATAGCCTAAAAATTGTATAAGCACTTAGGGAGAAAAGTAGAACATCCCCACTCGCGATTGTCACCCTCGCCGTGAATGTCCTACTTTTCTCCCTCGGTGCATAATATACTATTGTACTTACCCAGGTCACTGTCGCTGCACTTGGCCGTCCTCAGATCGCCCTCGCTCTTGCTGAGCTTGGCGCTGAGCCGCGCCTTGCGGTGTAGGGCTGCGCGTAACGCGGACACCAGCTCGCACGCTAGGGGTGACGCGAACTTCAAATCGCCGCCGCCGTGGTGAAACTTACTGAAATATGGAATTTTGTGCTGTATATATATAATACAGTCTGCGTGTTTCTTTATGGTTTTCACTCATTTCCAAGTAACAAAATATATATAATATTTTACAGGTTTTTTTGTATAAAAACTCTATTAAAATAAACAACCAATCGGAAATTCAGTCTAGATTAAGCTTGCTGTATTTAACATAATATGTCCTAAATATACATATTATATTTTAAGATGATTTTTTAAATTCGGTCAAAATTTTTGAGATATTCTCATATGGTTATGTTTGTGTAGCCGTCCAAATAAGGTGAGCGAGTATTGTTAATTAAACAAGTGATAGTGTTCTGTGGACATGTCCTTTTATTAGAATAATACAGACAATACTGACGTGCTGTAGGCACACTTTATTATGAAGAGGGATTATCGTGATTAGACTCCCCGAAGCCCACTGCGTTTCTTACCGGATCTTCTCAGTGAACCGCGATCCAGTAGTATATTCAGCGAAGCACTGCTCTTGTTGAGGTGTGAGGTGAGATAATGTTACCAAATTCTCTCAGGTTGCGTCCGTGAGCTCACCTACCCGTCTGCGCTTAGCTAGAATAGCCCCCTAAGCTACCAGCGAATAGGTACTAAAAAAGGACCCTTCGAAGCAAATTTCCTACACTTGTTTACATTATTATTATGTGAGATTATTAGAGTTGTAAACTATCACATTAATCAATTTCATATTTACTATTATATATTATTTCAATCATTTACGTTGTGGATGTCTATGGGTTCCAGTGGCCACTTGGCGCCAGGTGGGCTGTGAGCTCGTCCACCCATCTAAGCAATAAAAATAAAATAAAAAAAAAACTGCATCCAATCCCCCTAATAAGTTACTTTATTTTCTGTATGTATTTGTATATTGACTCTATTTTCACAATTTGCATTGAAATATTTCCATGAAACGTAGGCAGATCTTATTATTGATTCCGTTAACTTAAGGAAACTACATAGAAATTTACTTTTTTTTCATAAATATATTATACAATACATAGTTTGATAAATATATCCTGTTACGTGAGGACGGATGGCAGAATGACAATTTAGGTTCATAAAAAAAACAACAACTACAAAAGGATTTTGGGAAAGCTCTAGAAGTTTCTTCTAGAAATGTCCATCGTGCGAACTGTAACGCGTATAGAGCTTTAGTCTTTAACAAAATAATTTAATATCATAATAAAGTTGATACTACATTAATGACTTTGCGAGTTCTCTGATTCTCTGTCCATCCCTCGGTGACTACTAATCTCCTTTTATGAAACCATAGGGAAGAGATAGTGTTACAATTTTGTTTTTTATGATTGAAGGATTACTAGTGGCCTTGAGGCCTGGATAGGTGGACGAGCAAGGCTTACTCAGGAGAGGTGGGACTTGCTAACAGTTACCCGAGCGCCTCCGAAGGAGACCTAACAACTTAACAGCAGCTGCTTCGCGAATGAATCTACTAACGGATCGGAAAATTTTACTATTCCAGACTGACGTCACGCAGTCAAACTGTTACATTAATGTAAACAGTAAAGTTAATTGCGTCTGAGACTGCTCGCACATACCTACAGCAGCTAAATTTTCATTGTTTGTTCGAATGATCAAAGCAATTATCAATATCACAGCAAACATTACTAATGTACTTTGAAAACAGATTACGTATATGAGTCGTCTATTATCAAAGGTGGCAATCTGTGCATTTGGAAAAAAAAATGTTATTGATATGTCAATACAGATTGATTTGAATATAATCGTCTCCTTCAAAGAATACGGTTCAAAACCAGCATTAAATAAAGGTTAATAGTTAACCTGTTATTTATCTAAGATGTCGTTCCGAAGAGTTTTGTGACTGCCAATGGAATACAAAGTCAATAATTCGTTTTTCTGATTTACCAATAATTATCCAAAAGTCAGATTGCCGGCTTTGATAATAGTCGACTCATATAATGATAGTTGCGTTATTAGTCAGTCACGCTGTAAATACGAATTCCGACAGCCAATTATAAAATTGATATTATATTACAATGTAATACAAAATACTTATTACTATGAAAAAGGAGGACTACTAGGTAATTTTTTTATTGCTTAGATGGGTGGACGAGCTCACAGCCCGCGAGGCCTTAGAACTCATATCTCAAGGCGCGTGGCGGCATTTACGTTGTAGATGTCTATGGGCTCCGGTAACCATTTAACACCAGGTGGGATGTGAGCTCGTCCACCAACTAAGGCATTAATTTTTATTTTCATTACCTAAGCCTCCTTTATTTACTCGGAAACATTACATAACATTTGTTTATGTCCTTTCTAAATACTAACGTTTTCATACTTTAATTATTGTATTTTATGTTTTTTTAATTAAAAAAAATGGTGTACAATTAATTATGGATAGTGTACAGCAGGGGTGAAATAATTTTCTAACACGCAACAATAAGTGGCTTTTTATTTACCAGTAAAACTACACTGTTGCAATACATAGAAACTAGGATGTGTGCAACGAATGGATAATAGAGGAAAACGTACGTAAAAATCAAGAAATTACAACAAGAACAATTTTTTTTTTATATAAGTTTGCGATAGGCAGCGATTTACCTCTGTGGCTGGCATTACTGACGTCCATGAGTGACGGTAACCACTTACCATTAAGTGGGCCGTATGCTCGTCTGCCTGCTCGAACAATAAAAAAAGACGATAGTCTTCTTTTTCTCCACCTTATCCTACTAGGTGGGGTCGGCACAGCTAATTTTTCTCTTCCATTCTCTTCTATCAGCTGTGATCTCAACACTCACTCCTCTCTCTCTTATATCGTCATTCACACACTCCATCCATGTCATCTTCGGTCGACCTCTTCCCCCTCTACCTTGCACTACCATTTCCATACATCTTCTAGTCACATGCATCTTCTCTCTACCTATCACACGTCAATACCACGTTAACCTTTAGTATAATATTAAAATTACGATACATAACAACTGAAGTACTGAACTATTTCTGCCGTGAAGCAGTAATGTGTTTCGGTTTGATGGGCGGGGCAGCCGTTGTAACTATACTGAGACCTTAGAACTGATATCTCAAGGTGGGTGGCGCATTTACGTCGTAGATGTCTATGGGCTCCAGTAACCACTTAACATCAGGTGGGCTGTGAGCTCGTCCACCCATCTAAGCAATAAAAAAAATAAAAGAACCGAAATTAGAAAACCAAAACTATAGTTTTCGAACCGTGGCTTTAAGTACGATCATAATAAACGCAAAATTAAACTAATTGGTAATTTAACTTAGATATTATTATATTATTATCATTATGTGTACCTTAAATTGTAGAATTCCTCATGTACGTGTTTTCATTTCACACATTTAGTATATTAACGATAGGAACATAATTTACGTGATTTATTTATTTATTTAATCAACAATGTTTCAACAGCATTTAACTAGACACAGGGTACAGAGGATGTTTTCCCAAACATGAGCCAATTAAAGAAACACATGATGTTTCCAAAAAAATGTTAGCATAATTAACATGATACGTACATTAGTTGCACGTGTTCACAAATTTTCCGATATATTATATTATCTTTATTTGTTTTGAGTCACGTTCTGTCGGATTCATCATCGAACGAATGCAATTTTCGTCGACTATTGACACACGAATCTTCGGCAAAAACAAAATATTGTAATTGTAACACGCGAGAAGTTTCTAAACAATTTTTTTTTTTGTAAAATTATTACAGCCATTGACGATGATTAATGGTGATTATTGAAATACTCAGTACGTTCCTGGGTTTTTATTTTATTGCTTAGATGAGTTGACGAGCTCACAGCCCACCTGGTGTTAAGGAGCAGTACGGAGCTGTACTGGAGCCCGTAGACATCTACAACGTAAACGCGCCACCCACCTTGAGATATCTAAGGTATCAGTATAGTTACAACGGCTGCCCCACCCTTCAAACTGAAACGCATTACTGCTTCACGGCAGAAATAGGCGGGGCGGTGGTACTTACCCGGGCGGACTCACAAGAGGTCCTACCGCCAGTAAAAAATTGCTTCACAATGCTCCCACAACTACGAGTCATTGCCCAAATAAAAAATGCGTGTTTGATCTTTATTACTCATTGGCGATTGTTTACATGAGTGTACCACACTCATCACAAACCGGCAGAAGTGGCTATTTCCCGTGAGGCGCATAACATCTGCCCACAGCAATTATACTGAATGACGACCACGACCGCTCTGACAATGCGTTCGATTTGAAGGGCAGGGCAGCCGTTGTAACTATACTTGAGACCTTAGAACTGATATCTCAAAGTGGGTGGCGCATTTACGTCGTAGATTCTATGGGCTCCAGAAACCACTTAACGCCAGGTGGGCTATGAGCTCGCCACCCACCTAAGCAATAAAAAGTTAAAAAATAGTTCATTGGGAAAATCTGTAGCTGTCTGCAGGATCTGAAGATGGACATCGCTCGATACAAATACATTAGGTGTCTCATCCTTTATGCCACGACGATATCCAAATTGATTGGCTTGTTAGGTTAGTTAATTACGTATTCCCGTTGAAAAATTGGTACTAGCGGACTACTAACTACTTTAAAACCGGCAAAGTCGCATCGCATTTCGCCTTCTACGGCTTATCGCCTACCCCAATGGCATTTTCCGCGGAGCGCACTACACCGGCGCCACATCCCTATTGACTGAGATAACACATGTCTCCGTGTACACAATTTAAACTGGTAAATAGCTATCAAATATTTGATTAATTTATAATCACGTATGTTCTTAACCCTGGCGTCTATGGGCTGTCATCAATATCTTCAGAGATCAACTGGAAGCTGAGTTAGGTCTGACGAGACTTCCAGCAACGTCTTAAATATTAATGAACTAGCGACCCGCCCTCGCTTCGCTTCGGAAACTAATTTATTATTGATTTCTCCACTATTTAATGTATGTTATTATACATTATAAACCTTCCTCTTCAATCACTATCTATTAAAAAAACCGCATCAAAATCCGTTGCGTAGTTTTAAAGATTTAAGCATACACAGGAAGACAGATATAGGGACAGAGAAAGCGACTTTGTTTTATACTGTGTAGTGATAATTCCCTAATGCTGAATTCTTCGGACAGGCCCGCTCGCTTCTTTATTGTAATTCGATGCTTTGAGAAAGATCCCGGGATCTTTCAACCCTTAATTCAGACAGACACGGACATGCTACGGTTCACGTCAATAAGTTCAAAGACTCCGCTCGCCATTTATCACTATTTTGACTTTTTTCCTAATCGCTGGTAGCTTAAGAGGCCATTCTAGCTACACACGGACCGGTAAGTGAGCTAAAGAGTTCCACCTGAGAATTTACTAACACTGGGTCTAGCGAGAGCAGTGCTTCGCAGAATCTACCACCGGATCGGAAACGCGACCCACTGAGAAGATCCGGCGAGAAACTCAGTGGGCTGTATCTATGGGTTAATTTACTCGTCGAGCCCTTCGTCGCAAGCGACGAGTTCGGCGAGGACGCTGACCGGTGCTTGAAGTACCTAAAAGCATCGTTAATGGATCGAGACTACATGTGGAGTCGGCTCAGCATGTCCTTATCATGCTGTATAAGTATTTGTCATGAATGTTATGACCTATCGCCTGACGTCAAACCTCCTTGGGTTATATCTCCAATATTATAGCCTTGGCAACATGCCACAGGTAGGAACATTTCTGTTACTTCTTTTGGTGGTTTTTTTATTTAATGCCTTTGGTTCTATATTTTGCTATTCTATATTATTTAATGTAAATTATTTACATTAAAATTTAGATTTTAAATACAATAAAAAACGTTAAGTCTCTAGAGACCATTAAATTTTAATTACCTTTTGTTAGTGATAAAGCTTAGGCCCAGATTATTTATAATGTAATTAAACAACCCTGTATTTGGTAATTACTATTTACATAAACTACCATTAATTAACTCTTTGAGGTCCAGAGTTCACATGTATTGGACATCTGTTTTTTTACTGGCAGGTACATTGTCCACCACATGTATAGGTATGTGTGTGTGTCTGTGTATAACTAGGACCTGGTACAACAAAAACACACACAAAGTCTTAGGAATGCAAAGTGTTGACATATTATGTGTCTGTTGTTATGGTTATTAAGAGAGGCAATATTCACATTTAATGCATAAGGTCTGTAGATATGCTGACAGGGCTCAGTTAAAGTATTGGTTATTTAAGAATATTGCTACCTACACCACGACTCAGACTGGATAAAACTCTTTTTGAGCTAACCACTACCAGACAGCAAACCAAAGTTCTACCATTAATATTTTCGTTTTGAATCATATAAGAAAATGAACTAAAATCTGTGTTTAATCTACTAACCTATTCACAGATACCAGACATTCGCTCTTCTGTCCATTTTCACTGCACAACAGGACTTCTTGCATGTGTTTCCATTCAACAAATGTACCAATACTATTGGTCCTCGTTATCAGCATACCATGAGCCGACAATGTGACCGTGCTGTCAGAATCTTGGAGACCGCATTTCCGTGATAAGTCAGTTGCAACCACCGTTACTGAGTATGAATCTTTTAGTGGTGTGTTTGATGCTGAAAGCAGAATGAAAGTTGCACTATTTTCTTACTTTATGAGTAAACAAGCCGTACTCGCCTGCTTCACTGGGCATTTAAAATTAACATTATTATTTATTGTCATTATTATTATTAGGGAGTCCAATACTCATATAAATATTAGCCTATCCATTAAGTACATGTATTTTCTACATGGATACCAAGTTTCAAGTCAATCGGATGCATTTTTTTTATTGCCTACCGATACCGCTGCTGCATTGTTCAGTAGTTATAACGGAACATCCTTAAAAACCACTGTAGATTTATATATTAGTATAGATTAGCTGTAGGTGTGTTAGGAGCACAAGGAGTCCACACTTATAGGTAGCCCTGTACTGCTCATTTTAGTCAAGAAGCAATAATGTATTCCAGTTTGAAGACAACCATTAAACAGTATATTTATAACAAATATTATTATTACTAGTGCAGTCTTAATCTGTCTCTTGAACTTAAGTCTGAGACTTTCTGAAAAGACACGATGTCATACTCAAACTCAAACNCACTCATATAAATATTAGCCTATCCATTAAGTACATGTATTTTCTACATGGATACCAAGTTTCAAGTCAATCGGATGCATTTTTTTTATTGCCTACCGATACCGCTGCTGCATTGTTCAGTAGTTATAACGGAACATCCTTAAAAACCACTGTAGATTTATATATTAGTATAGATTAGCTGTAGGTGTGTTAGGAGCACAAGGAGTCCACACTTATAGGTAGCCCTGTACTGCTCATTTTAGTCAAGAAGCAATAATGTATTCCAGTTTGAAGACAACCATTAAACAGTATATTTATAACAAATATTATTATTACTAGTGCAGTCTTAATCTGTCTCTTGAACTTAAGTCTGAGACTTTCTGAAAAGACACGATGTCATACTCAAACTCAAACCTCAAACATTTGATTGAGAGACAGACTTCATATTGGTGACAATGAATATATCTAAGTGATTTTGTTTGTTACTTTTGAAGAATGTCAAATACCTAATGTTAAATTGTAAATGCGTCAGCAGTCAATCTATAATTATAGCTAACAAAATACATGCACTATTGTATTACATATATGGCATGTTGCATTTTGAGAACAATATATGTATATTAGAATTGAATCTTAATTAAATGTGTCATGAACTGGTAATATGTGCGCCCTTAATTTGTTTATACATAGATGTCAAGGAAACTATTTTTAAGTTGAAAGTGATAATTATAATTTTCTTTACTTTGTTCTTTCAAATTTTTTGTTTTTCTTTGAAAAAATTATGAATTTCAATGAGGCGTGTTGTTTTTAATTAGATAATCGATAATTTACGATTTTTTTAATAACAAATTTAAATTTAGAAGGCTTTTTTTTTAATAAATGTAGGTAGTTTCGACTCACTTAATAATCTCGTATCGTTTAATAAATTTTTAATCTTATCCATCCATGTTTGAGCATCTTCAATATTGGAGGCGGCAAGTAAAACGATAGGTTTATTAGGTTCCCTGGCAGAGAACACGGCGAAAGCGTGAGGGCGTGAGCGGGACTTCGCCCTTCGGACCACGCAGCCAGATGGTAATTCCACACAGCCCACGGCCGCTCCAGCCTCGTTACAGTACACCGCCAACGAGCCCCCCGAACTAGTTGCACTAGGCCTCAGGATACACCACTGCCTCTTCCAAGACTGACGAAAAAATCCATGCTTAAAAAGTCGATTTTCAAAAAAATAAAATTTTATGACTAATTTTGTAATAATCTAACATACCTTAAAAGGATTCAAGCCCAGATTTGATCTAAAAGGATACTTAACGTCCAAATAACCGGACATTTTGCAATACTTAAGTTAAATGCAGACAAAANTAGGCCTCAGGATACACCACTGCCTCTTCCAAGACTGACGAAAAAATCCATGCTTAAAAAGTCGATTTTCAAAAAAATAAAATTTTATGACTAATTTTGTAATAATCTAACATACCTTAAAAGGATTCAAGCCCAGATTTGATCTAAAAGGATACTTAACGTCCAAATAACCGGACATTTTGCAATACTTAAGTTAAATGCAGACAAAAGAATATATTTTTCGAAATAAATAAAAAATAAAAACAAACAAAATTCACATGTCCGGGCGGAATGTTTACGAAAACTCATAGACAAACAGTAAATAGAGCTTAGTCGTTGATGTTCAAAAATCGATTCGTTTAAACAACTGGTTTTTCCAAACCAGTTTCTTTTGTCTATGGATTGCAATTCGAAGAAAGACGCCCTTCTAATTTAACGTCAACTTAACACAAATGCTTCTTTTTAATTAAACATTACAAAATACTTATTACCAATTTGTAGTATTGAAATAGTAAGATTTATTAATTTGTTTCCACGTTTATGTCGTGTACCTATAAAATATCAGGTTTTGATAATTGAATATAGATAATCCAGATTTTCGCGCATTTTTTGACGTGTTCGGGCATTTTGTGAAGGCAGGTTAAAGTAATTAACAGTAATTAAAATAGATTTTACATAGAGTTTCACAGCATCGTATTCTTGTTTTACATTGCGTTTCAATTTGAACTACCACCAGCATGAAGCTCAGATAGTAGAATTTCAAGTATCCTGCGATTACCATGCCAATACATAGAAAATCGGCAAAACCAGTTGTTACTTCTATAAAAAAAGGATAATTAAGAAAAAAAAAGAATAACCAGAATTTGAATTTCACTCAAAGCTAATAAGAGTAAAAATAAAATGCAATACAACCACTGCTAAGGTGGATCAAAAAACAATCGCTATTTTTAAAATGTTTTGGACCATCGACAAAAACAAAAAAAATCGTTTTCAGAGACTGAATAGTATTTAAAGAAAAATCCTACTAATGCAAAATTAAAGTCTGTTAGAGACAATACGACCAGCGAATTTACTTAACTACGAGTAACATAACTAAGAGCTAACTAACTAATAATGAAATGCACAAAAAATAATAGAACTTATAAAAAATCTAACAGTACTGGTGGTCTTGTACACTGTATAGCAACATTGGCGACACTTAAAATTATTATTCATAATTAATATTATAAACGAAACAACTTTCAACGCCCCTTAACAGTGACACAAACTTCATTCTGTATACGCATATTCGCTAAGGGACTGAGTACTTTATTCAGCGTAACGCTTACCACTAAAGCTAGTTAGGCCAGAGACAACCCTATAGCCTATCGGTAACACAAACTAAAACGACAGTAGATAAAGAAAAAATTGAGCACGTCCCTGAGAATGGTGAGCTAGCAAACCAGAAATTAAAGAAAACTTTTTAGGAGTCGAGCTATAAGGTAGGTAATCCACAAATTACTAACTGTTCTTTTTCCAGTCTTTTTCCCATTACTATGTAGATCTGGAAGTCTAGCTCACAACTTTATGAAAAAACTTGAGTTTTTCGTTACACCGTTACACCTAATGGTGGGATGAGGTCCCTCAGATTCTACATTCACATCTATTGGTGTGAACAGTATCTCTGGAGTAGGTACTGATTATGATCTCTGAGTAATACCCACGTTCTTATAATACCCATTTAAAACATAAATAGGGTATCGTCTCCGCCGAAGACTATCCAAAGTCTATGGTGGAAACCCTCTCAAATCACAAGTCAATCGTCTTCTGTATTTAATTGACTGATGGGCTCATGGTTGGCCTTGTTTTATTTTGCTTAGATGGCTGTTGTCAATTATTCTTCCCATAGACACAGCCCACTGAGTTTCTCGCTGGATCTTCTCAGTGGCTCGCGTTTCCGATGCGGTGGTAGATTCTGCGAAGCACTACCCTTGCTAGGACCAGTGTTAACAACAACTCCTGGTTTGAGCCCCGAGAACTCACCTGCACGCTAAGGTAACGCTGATATAGCCTCTCAAAGCTATAAGCATAGGAAAAAAAGTTATTGCTTATCGGAGCCCATGGACATCAACAACGTAAATGTCACCACCCACCTTGAGACATGAGTTCGTAGTCTCAGTGCTTTACAGTACAACGGCGGCCCCGCCCTTTAAACCGAAATGTGTTACTGCTGCATGGCAAAAAAGGCAGGATGGTGGTACCTACCTACCCGTGCGTGTTCACATGGCGCCCTGCCACCGGTAATTACGTTAATAGTAATTTTTTGCGCGTTTGATTTTTATTACACAATGCTATTTCTGGAATTCGTGGAAGTCGTATGTGAACGTTTTTTAAAAACATATTTTATTAGACAAATTGATACCTGTCTGCGGGACTCGATCTCCAGCACAGCAGCATCGGCGTTTTATCCTTTACATCACGACGACTTCGAATTTAAACCAGGAGCCGAGAGATTTGTGTCTAATGTGTGATTTGTCTTCTTGGGGCTGCGTCTTCAGATTGAGCGAATTTAATGTGGTTCATCGCTATCATTTTTTTGTTTATAACTTTATATACTTGACAGTATAAAGACGGGCTTAATGCCATAGGTATTCTCTGACAGTGTACCTTAAGGGAGTGCAGAGATGAACCTTTACAATTACTTGAAGACGTAACTTTGAAGGTGGTATATAGACCAGTGTGCTTAGTGCGAGTTTCTTAACGTTCTCGATAACGTGAAAGTTAAGCTAATTTTGTATGCAGTTGGAACAGCGCCCCTAGCGGAAAACGTACGCAAACGATCCCATTCCATACAAATATGAGCTAACTTTTACGCTATCGAGAACGTTAAAAAACTCGCACGAAGCATACCGATTTCTATAGTGTTTCATGTTCAAGGAATATTGGCTGTATTCCCGAGCAAGCTTATGCGTAAACTATATATGTACATAGGAGACATAATATAGTATACCGTATAGTAGTATGCTTCGGGACTCAGACCGGGAATCGATTCTGGAAAATTCCGTAGTCTGAATCACCACCAATCACCACCCACTACTACAGACTACCGCGGTGATCGAGTTAATTTCGTGTAGCTCAGTATAACTTACCGTTTAAAAAGTAATACCATTTAACTTACTACAGTCTTATTCATAATAAATTATTAGAGCTTTATACGATGGCTATAAGAAGACGATTAAAAAGTGATCAAATTTGTTCAAATGAAGAAGGTGACGGTATCATTTCGAACATTTTCATAGAGCACTCCCTACAGAATGTATGCTACAAAACACATAAAACCGAAATACCTTCATAAGACTAGTAATTTCAAGCAGTGTATGAGCCATAGATATATTGAAACAAATATGGTATTAGCTTAGACTTCATTGAATTATAAATTAAACTCTTTATACAAAATTACAAATACTATAAAAAAATTACGTATTAAACTTAAAATATAGTTTCTTTTTTAAATGTTAACACAGAATCCCGGTCCGTTGGGAGGTTCAGCGGCTATACCACGTCGTAGCATCCGGCAAGTGTGTTCCTCGATACGTTGTCGTACGTGAGTAGTGACAGGATCTTTTGGCGGGTGTTTGTAATCGAGTCCTGACCACAATCGTTCAGCTACAGCACTAGTTCGCGGCCAAGTCCTGTAATTAGTTTTTGTTAATATTTGGCACAGGGAAACGATCTTTTACAAGTGGTCAAAACCTTAATTGCCTTGAATGATGAATAGCAGTTCAAACTCGGACACATGGCTGCTCCATAGCAGAGATAAACAAAAATACGTTAGCTAATTCACTTCGCATTTCTGCATCTTCTAATTAACTGAAGACTTGATTTGATAGATGTTTTTATTATTATCATGAACATCCTGTAGCCTAGCTTCTATAATTACTGATAGCAAGGCGTCATTCGAGCCGGCAGGGGTACCACCACCCGGTCTATTTCTGCAGCGAAGCAGTAATGCGGCCCTCTTTGAAGGATAGGGTAGTCATCATTGTAAATAATTGAGACAGACCTTGTGTCTGATGGTGGATGACTTCGGCTACCACTTCTTCTTCTTCTTATAAGCCCACAGACATCCACTGCTGGACATAGGCCTCCCCCAAGCCTCGCCACAAAGACCGGTCCTGCGCTGCTTGCATCCAGCGGATCCCCGCGAACCTCAATAGATCGTCGGTCCATCGTGTGGGAGGCCTACCCACGCTACGTCTTCCGTCTACCACTTAACACAAAACAATAAAAAACGCCTTCGATAAGATAACAGTAATAATCTCCCTGACCTGCTAATTACGTTCGTATCGTCCGCCATCTCGCCCCACATACAAGCTTCACCGCCAACGATGTTCTCCAGACGAGCGTTCTTCTTCTTCTGGTAGACCATAAGCCGAGGGTCGTCACCATAAAACGAGTTCCAATTGAAGTTCAAATAGTCCAAATACCATGACGATGAAAAAACGACTTTGTGACCCGAATTTAGAATCTAAAATTGTAAAATATAAAAATTTACATGAAGGTCAATTGTTTCATGCTTTCTTGACGCCATAAAGTATTTTTTTTTATTGGTTAGATGGATGGACGAGCTCACAGCCCACCTGGTGTTAAGTGGTTACTGGAGCCCATAGACATCTACAACGTAAATATGCCACCCACCTCGAGATATAAGTTCTAAGGTCTCAGTATAGTTACAACGGCTACCCCACCCTTTAAATCGAAACGCATTACTGCTTCACGGCGGAAATAGGTGGGGTGGTGGTACTTAGCCGTGCGGACTCACAAGAGGTCCTACCACCAGTGATTACGCAAATTATAATTTTGCGGGTTTGGTTTTTATTACACGATGTTATTCCTTCACCGTGGAAGTCAATCGTGAACATTTGTTGAGTACGTAATTCATTAGAAAAATTGGTACCCGCCTGCGGGATTCGAACACCGGTGCATCGCTACATACGAATGCACCGGACGTCTTATCCTTTAGGCCACGACGACTTCATATGTATATCCATGAGTGCAATCTATTAGAAATTCAATGATATGGTCAACACCACTTAGACTTGCGCAAGTAAGTAGATTGGTCTATTAATAATGAAATTAGGTAAAAAAACATTAATTTTTAATTTAAATGTGAAAATCCTCATTTTACCTTTATCATTTCATCAACCCATTTGTACTTCCAAACTTGTATGAGAGTGTCCTTAGAAATGGGCACTTTTTCATCGTACACTTCCTAGAAAAAAAGAAGAAGAAAAATGATAACGTGTTTGCTTTGTGTGTGTGTGTGTGCGTGTGTGCGTGTGTGCGTGTGTGCGTGTGTGTGTGTGTGTGTGTGTGTGTGTGTGTTACGTAGCAGCTGTTTATTTTCCCCTACTTATTTTCTTGTAGCCTAGTGAGCCATTCTAGCTACACCCTTACGTGTAGGTGAGCTCACGGGCTCAACCTGAGAGAATTTGCTAACACTAGCCCTAGCAAGAGCAGTGCTTCGCAGAATCTACCGGGTCGGAAGATTCTACCTACTGAGAAGATCCTGCGAGAAACTCATTGGGTTAAAAATTCACCATAATACTATTAGCCCTGCAAGTTCCTTAATACTTTTAGTTTACCATCATAAATCATAATTCCAAAATGAAAAAAACAAATTATATATTACTGGCGGTAGGACCTCTTGTGAGCCCGCACGGGTAGGTACCACCACCCTGCCTATTTCTGTCGTGAAGCAGTAATGCGTTTCGATTTGAAGGGTGGGCCAGCCGTTGTAACTATACTGAGACCTTAAAACTCATATGTCAAGGTGGGTGGCGGCAGTTACGTTGTAGATGTCTCTGGGCTCCAGTAACCACTTAACACCAGGTGGGCTGTGAGCTCGTCCGCCCATCTATGCAATAAAAAAAATAAAGATTTATTTGTGAAAGTTTCTCACATTAATGTTCTCAAAGCTATATGAGCCAGTTCTGAGAGCACCGTCAAAAATACGTAAATCACAATCGGTAGCTAAAGCTTGTAAAGACTCGACAACTCCTTGTGAATAAGTCGACGAATCTATAGATATTTATTGCATAACTAATTTGGGTAGGGCGTCATGTGAACTCGCATGGGCAGGTACCACCACCCTATCCATTTCTGCCGCGAAGCAGTAATCCCTTTCGGTTTGAGCGTTGGGACAGCCGTGGTACTGTTAAACTGAGACTTAGAACTCATGTCTCAAGGTGGGTGTCAGAATTTTCGTTGTGGATGTCTATGGGCTCCGGTAACCATTTGAAAGTAAGCCTTTTTTTTTCTACCTAAGCCGATAGCCTTGAGAGGCTATATCAGCGGAACCTTAACTAGTAGGTGAGCTCACGGGGCTCAAACCTGACGACGTTGCTAACACGAACCCTAGCAAGAGCCGTGCTTCGCAGAATCTACCACCGGATCGGAAACGCGACCCACTGAGAAGATCCGAAGAGAAACTCAGTGGGCTGTGTCTGAGGGTTAATTTACTCGTCGAGCCCTTCGTCGCAAGCGCCGGGTTCGACGAGAACGTTGACCGGTGCTTGAAGTACCTAAAAGCACCGTTAGTGGATCGGGAGGATCTGAGATGACGTGTTTGGGGCGACGTCGACTGCTTTCCTTTCTTTCCGCAGGATCCGGAATCTAGTTACCGGCGGCCACGATGAGAGGGTCCTCGTGTCGTGCCGCTTTATCGAAGGGGTGAAAGTAGGCCGTGAGCTTGTCTACACATCACAGCAATAAAATGAAGGTACATTTAAAAAATAACTGACTTGCCAAACTATTGGAACTGTAGTTTTCTTCACTCGGCCAATAACCTCTTTCATGAACATAGCGTGGACACCGTTAGCGGTCAAATTGTGTTGTTTCATATACTCCTTCAGTTCGGGGTTCGATTGCCTATTAAATAGGAAAAGTTTAACCACGCATTCATCGACCAATATCGTCATTAAATTTAATTATTGTCGAAAACAAAAGAGACCTATCAGTGATTGTCGGGCCCTATCCCTAGTAGTACACTAGTATAACGCTCAAAGAACAATATGGACCATCTCCAAGTCGCCTACACCCACAGGCAGAGACGGTGCTGTAATTCTACGCCGACACACAGCCATAACATCATACTAGGAGTTGAGTGACAAAAATAATAAGTGACACGTAATTAAGAATTACTAGTGATGCCCTGATAGTTGAAATTCGACTATAATTAATTGAAATATGATTTGTACACTATTATGATTCTATTGTTAAAGACTATTTATTATACTTCTATAATCATGAATTTCGCCAAGACTATACTATAGAAAAATATTAATAAAGACAAACAATATTTAATCTATTCTCAATTTGACCACAGCATAGCCCTTTAAAGTATACTTTAGTGGACCACAGAAGTCAAGAACAAAATTTGACAATAAATAAATAGTATGCATGCGTGTGTGCGTCAAATATATGGTACTTCATGGTAGTTTGTGTAATGTTTTCTTTATTGATTTAATGTATCTTTTAAGCATTATTTAAAAAAAATATTAGCATTGTGCACTTCTTCTCTATATTCTCTATAAGTGTGGAAAACTTCATACTCTTCCGTCCGCGCAATTTTCGTAAAAAGGGATACAAAGTTTTTGCTTCACGTATTAATATATATATTTATATATTCATGTACCAGACGTCACTCAAGAACTGATACAGATGTTTGATGAATTTAAGTCTGCTGCTGTGCAAATAAATTTATTAATTAGCTGAAAAAATAATTGTTTAACACGTTTTGTATTGCAAGCAATGTAACCTCAATTAAATATTAGGCAACGTGCGGGGTCAATGTCCCAATGTCTCGTGTGAATGATTCCGTTTTCGCGTATCATGAAATTCCTTAGCGATTGTATACTAGTGCTTCTTTAAGCAAATTTTATTTTATACTAGCTGACCCGGCAGATTTCGTAGTGCCTCAATCGATAAATAAAAGACCTAAACTTTTGTATAAAATAAACTTAAAACAAACAAAAGGAATCCGTCCGACGGGGACACATCAAAGGAAAAACAAAATTTGTTTGTTATTTTTATTTAATTCCGATCATTTTCATATTTATCTATGTTTTAAACCTACTATGGAGTTCCACAAATAATTTAAGACCGAAATTAGCCAAATCGGTCCAGCTGTTCTCGGATTTTAGCGAGACTAACGAACAGCAATTCATTTTTATATATATAGAAGAAGAAGATTAACTGCCGACGTTTAAGTATTACGACAGCTACCGTTTAATTTTCTATTAAAAAAAATCTTGACATTTTCATATTTTTTTGCACGCAAAAAGTAAGAACACTATCATGACAAGGATGTGCGCGGCTTGGGATTTAATATTCAAGAAGAAGATCCCGCGTATTGGATAAGCTTCAAATGAGTGTAAACAAGCGGAAACCAGAATTTTTTTAACATTGTATTTAATTGCTATAGGTATAACGGTATACACAGCTAGGTAGCATCCTGTGTTTGAAGTTAGCGGCTATCTGTGTGCTTAGTGCGAGTTTTTTAACGTCCTCGATAGCGTAAAAGTTAGCTCATATTTATATGGAATTGGATCGTTTGCTTTCCTTTGCCGTTAGGGGCGCTGTTCCAACTGCATACAAAATTGGGATAACTTTTACGCTATCGAGAACGTTAAAAAACTCGCACTAAGCACACTGATCTCTCGATGGATACTACGATTTAATTTCTGAAAAGTGAGTGTTAGCTTTGACATTGCGACGTGTGCTGAACCACAAATAGGAACGTGAGCTCGTCTGCTCACCTGAGACAAACAATAAGGCAGTAACATCGTGTAGTTCGAATCTGAGATCCTGCACGGGTAGACAACACCATCCGGCCTATTACTACCGCAAGACGGTGACGTGTTCTGATTGGAGGAATATCTAAACAACACCGTGTGAGTCCAGCGCGCCCACAAACTGGTGGTAGGACCTTTTTAATTCTGCATTAGTAGGTACCACCACCCTGCCTATTTCTGCCGTGAAGCAGTAATGCGTTTCAGTTTGAAGGGTAGGACAGCCGTTGTAACTATACCGAAACCTTAGAACTTATATCCCAAAGTGGGTGGCGCATTTACGTTGTAGATGTCTATGGGCTTCAGCGACCACTTAAAACCAACAATAAAAAAAATAAAAAACTGTATCAACGTTCCAGGTGATTTCTAGATATATTGTTCGCAAATGGAAATATCGGTTTGGACTAGTTGATAGCCTTCTTCTTTTTGCCCTTATAGCAACACTATGTGTGGTCGGCGTGACGTCTCATCTTTTCCATTTAGACTTAATCATATGACATCTCTGCACATATCCTCTATCACACACTCCATCTAAGTATTTTTAGAAACTCACCTGTTCGTTAGTAAAGTTCTTAAACTTACCAGCAGCTTAAATCCACTTCATCGCCTCCAACGTGGTAATATCGATCAGGAAACAGATCCTGGACCTCCTGGATTAATTCTCCGAGGATTTTGTATGTGGTGCTCCTTATCGGATTCAAAGGACCGTAGGCTATGACTTTATTTTTCTCGTAGCATTTCGTCAGCAGCATGGGATATGCAGCACCCCAGGATCTAGTGTGACCTAGAAATTATATTTATTTATTTAATATATTTTTGAATATATTTTGTACACACAGCTCTTAGAAGAAACACGACAATAAAGATACAGAGTACAAGGGCACTACTTATTTCATGTCGAAATCTCTTCCAGTAGGCCCGCAAAAGGAAAGGAGAATTAGGAACACAAACCTAGTGCATACAGTAAACATTACATATAATAATATATACATATTACAAGACACAAAACAATATATATACATATACTTACTGTATATTATAATACATAATACAAATTTATATACTTTTATTTAATATTTTAAGGATAAATAGTGTTCTTTAACAGATTTCTTGAACGCTGCTATGGTTTTGCGCGCTCGTATGCTTGGAGGGAGGGAATTCCAAAGTATAACTGCTTGTACAAAAAATTATTTTGCGTAAGCATGTGTTTTATGAACAGGGCATTTGAGGATAGTTTCAATGTTCTACAAGGAGCAAGGGAGGGCCAAGGGAGGGAGAAGCAAGGGAGGATATTTGTAAAATCGGTTCTATATTCGTCAAATTTAGTGGTCGGCAGCCCGCGGTTCTTTGACTCCTCTTGGCTACGGCTCTTCCGCGAAACGCTTAGTTCAGGCACGGAATATTTCTTACTTATTATATTGCCTTGTAAAAGACGAGTAAACGTTTTTGAAACACAAGGCTCTAAATATACGTTTAAAAAAAAATTGGCTCTCTGAATAATAATATAATACAATTGTACACACTTGTGTGTTAATACCGTGGTTAATACAATTGTGTGTTATCTATATTTGGCTCTTTTGATTGACAAGGTTGCCGACAACTGGTATAATAATTCATTTAAAATAGACAATTTATTTAAGATGAATTAAATAAAAATGTATTCGGTATTTCCAAACTTTACCGATTAGGTATTTTAGGCTGAAAAATAAAACTGATGTCAAACGATGAGTACGCACTTCCGCTGATAATCCTACTCAGCATTCCCAGGATCATGACCTCATCAGGAACCCAGGCTATTCTCTCTATTAATTAATATTACTATCTATTAATGATTTTTTCTGGCTTAACGAAAATGGATCTAGAGGATTTTTGTGTAATACATTCTGGTGTAAGCGTTGAGATATTATAAAATAGTGAGTAAATAGTGTGTGGTATGAAAAAAGAGGTAGTGCCTACGAAGGTATGGTTTTTTCCTCTAACTATGCTGGTAATCTCTAAGGGCCATGCCAGAGTAACCGGGCGAATAGGGGCTCTAACTTGGTGACGTTGCTAACACTAGCCCTAGCAGGACCAGTGCTTCTCAGAATCTACCATCGGATCGAAAACGCAACCCACTGAGAAGATCCGGCGAGAAACTCAGTGGGCTGTATCTGAGGGTTAGGAAGCTATTTGTGGCAGTTAATATGACAACATTCATAAATTAACATCGAAAAAGTCATGCAATGTTTTTCACACACAGAGTACGTGACAAGACGGCGGTAAAACTAAAATCTACTTGTGATGAAAGTACGTCGAAGATGAATGGATGATGATGATGATGATAGAAAATATCGAAAACACTCACCGGGCACATCAATTTCTGGTATTACACGGATAGCACGATCTCTCGCGTAGTTTATTATCATTTTAATATCCTTCTTCGTGTACACCATTGATGGATGGAAAGCGCCCTTTTCGCTGCGCACAAAAAATAATGGAAATACCATTATTAATCGAAGATACTTTTACGGGTTTAATTTCGCGTTTGTCATTGTGATGGTATTATTTCCGACCTTTCCAATATGTTACAGATTCAGTGATCGCGGTCACGGAATTATGTCTATGACTTGTGGAAACCGAACAAAATACTAACTAAGCTGCGATATTTCATCGACTTTTTTCACCTAATGGCAATACTTGTAACGCTTTCTCTGGAAATTATACCGGGCAATGATGTCGTCGCATACGAAATCCCAAGAGAAATGCTTGAAACGCTTCATTAGAACATAATGCTGTAAGGAAAAGGCTTGTGGAGACTATTTAATGATTAATAGCGGCTTAGCTCTGCCCCTGGTATTGCTGATGTCCACGAGTGACAGTAACCACCAATGCTGCTCAATCTATGTCACTGCACAAATCACAATGTACTATAAAAACTAAGACCTTAGAACTCATATCTCAATGGTCTATAGGCTCCGGTTACCACTTAACATCAGGTGGGCCGTGAGCTCGTCAAACCATCTAAGCTATAAAAAAATATCTGATTAAGAGTCAATACTGAACAAAAAATGAACGCGTGATCAAAATAAAAAGCCGGTCATACCTCAAACTTGGTAAAATTTCACTCTTATAAGGAAAGCTTTGATCGTCAACTATGTGCCAGTGTAGCACGTTCATTTTGTTGATGCTCATCGCGTCCAAGGTTTTCTGAATTGTATTCAACGACAGGTAATGCCTTCCGGTGTCCAGCAGGAGTCCTCGATGCTTGTACTGCGGGAAATCATGGATCTCCGTTTTGTTAATCCTGATTTCCTGAAAGTTTAATTTAGAAATTTAAGTTACAATAATAATAATTAAAGTTTTGGTAACAGTGTTTATTATTCGACGAATGCTCTCACCACCACAGATATTTTAAGACTCCTAAATTACTTAATAATAGGGCTATTAGAAGTTATTAGATCGTAAGTAATGAAATTGCTCGTTAACTTAACCATTTCGAGGTATTTCGTTTGAATGTTCGTTAGTAGGTATACCTTTTTGGTAAAAGAAAAACTTAACCGATAACCCTTTAGATACCTTTGAATCATCCGTGAAATACAAAAGATGCGTCCAGGACTCAAATGCTCGCATCATGCCCCAAACAGATAAACTTGTCATCTGTGAGTTTGCACCAACTGTCAGATTATCTAAAACACAATGTACCTATGTTCAATCGAACTATCATCATCATCACTATTTATCATCTAAGTACCTATTTAAATTCAGTTTTTACCACTGCAAAGTCCTAGCCTTTATTGCCGCGGTCACACCATTCGTCCAAGCTACTACTGGTGGTAGGGCTTCTTGTGAGTCCGCACGGGTAGATACCGCCCCCTGCCTATTTCTGTCGTGAAGCAGTAATGCGTTTCGGCTTGAAGGGTGGGGCAGCCGTTGTAACTATACTAAGACGTTAGAACTTATATCTCAAGGTGGGTGGTGGGTGACATTTACGTTGTAGATGTCTAACACCAGGTGGGCCGTGAGCTCGTCCCCCCACATAAGCAATAAAAAAAAACTATAAAGCTATAAGGCTAAGCTACTATTACAACGATAGCGAAATAAATGCATGTGCATAGAGGTTGTGTGGTAGCCTAGAAGAGCACCAATTCATCTCATCGCCATCGGTCTCGTAAAAAAACAACTACTAAATTCGCCGGGGAATGGGCAGCAACGTTTTTTAGGTAAAATACCGGTGTGCTCCGATCACCCATCGGCATTTATTGGTAGAGCGCATTATGATCCCGCACGACCGGGTACTATCGTACTATCCATTCCTATCGCGACGTTTCAGTCGGAAGGATCGGAAGGAGCTTAGAGATTTTAACTTCTAACCTCAAGCTGGGAGTTAGATTTTTTTGTGATTTCATGATGACCATGGGCTTCGGTAACCACTAGGCAGGCCGTCAGTTCGTTCACCCATTTCAGGAATAAAAAAGTAATTAACTAATCCGTTAATATTTTCTCCGTCGCGTATTTTAGGTCCCGTACAGATTATTTTAATATCCCAGATTGCATGTGTCGTGTGACGATTTATTATCTATGTTCATAAAATATCATGCCCCATACAGATAATTAGTCCATAAAATTAGACCGGATATGGAGACAGAATATGTGATACCGATAAATGTAATGCGGATCACAATATGTTTTGTTTGTACACGTTAGATGGTACTTATAAATTATCTTATACACAAACTATCAGGTTTTCACACACAAATCACGCAGGTCCGACGGGCCCCGGTCCTCTGACAATTGGGTCCACTGGGATTGCATACAAATTGAAATAAATTAATAAGAAGAAAAAAACAATTTTATGATAGGACGCATAAATTTAACTAAATGCGCACAATATCAATAATACTGTTAAATAGGGTAACTAATTCAGTGATTTAATAAATATTAAAATACAATGTGACGGTTTTCATCCAATGAATTTGTGACGGTCCTCAGGTGGTACAGCTACCCCACTGTTCCCTACTCATATATAGATAAATAGAGTCCACTGAGCTTCTCTCCGGATCTTCTCAATGGGTCGCGCCTCCGATCCGGTGGTAGATTCTGCGAAGCCCTGCTCTTTCTAGAGCTAGTGTTTTTTTTTGTTTTTTTTTATTGCTTAGACGGTTGGACGAGCTCACAGGCCACCTGGTGCTAAGTGGTTACTGGAACCTATAAACATCTACAAAGTAAATGCGCCACCCACCTTGAGATATAAGTTCTAAGGTCTCAGTATAGTTAAAAAGGCTGCGCTTCAAAACGAAACGCATTACCGCTTCACGGCAGAAATAGGCGGGGTGGTGGTACCTACCAGTGCGGACTCACAAAAGATCCTACCACCAGTAAGACACCAGAGTTAACAGATTCTCTCAGGTTGAGCCCGTGAGTTCACCTACCCATCCGAGCGTAGCTGGAATAACCCCTTAGGCGACCAACGAATACGTAGGGAAATAAATAAATAAATAGATGATGAATATTGCAAGAGTTGACTTTTCCGAAGGTCGACACACCATATTTTAGCTATAATGCATTTTAGCATTTTAGCTAAGGCAAACGAGCTCCTTCCCGGGAATTAAGACATCTGCCCAAGATTCTTCTTAGGAAAATCTACCAGAAAAGACTTTCATACCAATGGCGTGTACAATTTCTGAAGCGGGACGACTCCGAGTACCAGCTATTCTTCCATTTGAATCCGACAAAATAACCCTGTATTCAGATTGTAAAGGAAGACAATGGGTACTTTAAATTTCTAACGAGAAAATTTTCCTTTATCGTGGATGTGGTTGCTAAGTAATGTATATGATTCGAACATATAGCGAATTCACTTTATGGTGAATACACGCGAATACTCTTTGAACCTAGACGACGACCTCTAGAAACAAGGTTCAATGATGATACTACAAAGCAGTGAATTAGCTGCTAAAGTCGTCTGTCAGTTAAATTCGATGAAAATTGTAAAACCTTAGCATTTATGTTTTCCTACCTTTTCACTGGTAGCTTAAGATCCAGCTATACCCGGTCGGGTAGGTGAGCTCACGGGTTGAACCTGATAGAATTTGCTAACACTAGCCCTAGCAAGAGCAGTGCTTCGCAGAATCTACCACCGAATCAGAATTGCGACCCTCTGAGAAGGTCCAGCGAGAAACTCAATGGGCTGTGCCTATGGGTTAGTTCGCTCGTCGAGGAACCTAAAAGCACAGAGTGAATCCGGGGGATCCGACAAGACATGTTACGGGCGACGGTGGCTTTGCGCCGCTACAGATTAAGATACATAATTTAACGGCCGTCTGGTGTAGTGGTAAGTGACATGGTCACTACACAAGGGGGTCGCGGGTTCGAATCCCGCCAAGGGAAGATATTTGTATGATAAATATAAATGTCTTTTCCAGGGTTATGGATGTATATTAAATATATGTATGTGTATAATAAAAATCTTACATTTATATCCGTTGTCTGGTACCTGTAACACAAGTTCTTTACGAACTTATCACGGGACCAGTTAACGTGGCGTGATTGTAAGTAAATATTTATATTTATTTATCTATTTATAATTTATGTTGTAATGTTTAACTCACAGCTCTCGTCCATGTCAAAATGTGGATAATATTCACAAGGAGCGGACATGTTAATTGTAAGCCTTTTCAGTACACCTAAATACTTCTCGCTGTCGTGCGATTCTACATGAGTCGAAATGTTGTTGTATCGTTTTACGATCATATATTGGCGCTGCCAGATTTCCGCATATCGTTCTATCGTTTCATTCAGTAGATTGCACTTTTTGTTTACAATCTGCAAGTAATAAATTATTTTAAGCCCGACTCTAAGCCGAAAAGTACTTTGATATTACTTATTGAGCTAGCCAAATGTTTGAAGTCTTCATTGCGGTCAAGGCAATGAAGATAAGGAAGCAATGAAGATGAGATACGAGTCTATGGCCAAGTCGCTGCCTATCACTGAGGAATCTTTTCAAGCCTCGTTCAAAGGTCACAGCAGAGGCCACAGAAGGCCACAGCCCTAATTAAATTCTATGGAGTTAATTCTAAAGCTCGATTATTGCTAGGTGTCTACAAAGTGGCTACCAGAGTTCATAGACATTCAGACTGAATGCGGCCTTAGGACATGAGATTGTAGTTTCTATTGTGCATCTGCCGCCCCACCCTTCGGACGGGAACCCAATCCTACTTCGCACTGGCCGGAGGGTAGTATTCGCTCGTACGGGCTCACACTACCCTCAATTCCAGTAGTAAACAAGGCAAAAGGGATGACAAGTCATAACAATTAATATTATTAATAATTTTGCGTAAAATCGTGTTTTTATTAAAAACCTGTTACATAGACACGACTTAAAAATTATCATATTAGTGTAGGTATTGTCATCGGTTCTCGATAATTCTACAAAGTTTGAATGAAATCTGGCCGCTTAAAGTGGATCAAAATCGCGTCTAAAGCAGTCAGTTACAAACATACATACAAGTGAAGCTAATATAAAGCGTGTAAAAATAATATATCTATATATTATAAAAAAATGAATTGCTGTTCTGTTCGCTAAAACTCGAGAACCGCTGGACCGATTTGGCTAATTTTGGTCTTGTATTATTTGTGGAAGTCCAGAGAAGGTTTAGAAGGTAGATAAATATGATAATGCTCGGAATTAAATCTTCGATGTGTCCTCCGTCGGACGGATTTCTTTTGTTTGTTTTAAGTGTGTTTAGGTTTTTATTTATCGATTGAGGCACTACGAAGTCTGCCGGATCAGCTAGTATATTATAATTATAATTTAAGGAAAAATATTTATAAATCGTTGCACTGGCATACCTCTATTTGAATGACGTCCGGGCGAAATAAATAAAAATAATCGCTTTTCTTTTCCTGTTGCGGCTTCGGCCAGACCTCGCCTCGCGTCGGCGGGAACTTCGGTCCGGGCTCGACAATATAAATCGAATCGGACGGTGCAGCAAAGAAACTCAGAACCGATACGAGCAGCATCGTCGCCATCGCGCCGACCATCACGATTTTTATTTTAAATCTGCATTTACACACGCGAACGTTCATGGGGAGTACAGTATCACTACTGAATCGGATTTGTAATTACTAGTCTAACAAAATGATTGGGCTCGCCTGTCGCCTTCGTGTGCCGTGTGTAGATCTAACAGGAGCATTGCCGTCCTTATTGATAAATTAACTAGCTGTGCGCCGCTTACACACTTGCGTGCGTTTGAATTTTTAGCCGCTGTATTAAGTTATATCATATCTCCCAGCGAGGAAATGACTCCGTAGAGCGCCTTGTCGTTCATTTTTTATTGGTGGTAGGACCACTTGTAAGTCCGCGCGGGTAGGTACCACCACTCAGCCTATTTCTACCGTGAAGCAGTAATCGGTTTTTGAAGGGTGGGGCAGCCGTTGTAACTATACCGAGATCTTAGAATTTATATCTCAAAGTGGGTAACGCATTTACGTTGTAGATGTCGATGGGCTCCAGTAACCACTTAACACCAGGTGGGCTGTGAGCTCGTCCACCCATCTAAGCAATAAAAAAGGCAAAATAGAAGGCACCAGACCGCGTGGAAGGTTGCCCATGCGATGGATCGACCAAGTCAAGTTGGCGGTTGGTTGCATGAGTGTACCAGGCTCATCGCAAACCAGCAGACGTGGCGATTGCTCGTGAGGCGCATAACATCTGCCCACAGCAAGGATACTGAATGATTACCGCTCTGACAAGAGTGATACGACAAAGGACATTAAGCTATTTCAGCTTTATATCATCATCAAGAGATAGGTTATATAATGCAAAAGTCGTATTCGAGTTGCTGATCAATTAGCTATTTCTGCTCACAGATTATATTTTTCTGCTCACAAAAATACGAATACTATGCTAACCATTTAAATAACACCCAATTCGAATTAGCGTGGATAATCAAGTTGGCTATGAACCTACCAGAGTATCATTATAGGGTTGAAAGCATAAACTTCTGATTGTTCTCAGACATTCTCAGATTATGTTTTCAAGACGGAAGCACCCTTACCTCCTTTTTTTTTATTGCTTAGATGGATGGACGAGCTCACAGCCCACCTGATGTTAAGTGGTAACTGGAGCCCATAGACATCGACAACGTAAATGCGCCACCCACCTCGAGATATAAGTTCTAACAGTATAGTTACAACAGCTACCCCACCCTTCGAACCGAAACGCATTACTGCTTCACGGCGGAAATAGGCGGGGTGGTGGTACCTACCCGTGCGGACTCCCAAGAGGTCCTACCACCAGTGATTACGCAAATTATAATTTTGCGGGTTTGGTTTTTATTACACGATGTTATACCTTCACCGTGGACGTCAATCGTGAACATTTGTAGAATACGTATTTCATTAGAAAAATTGGTACCCGCCTCGGATTCGAACACCGGTGCACCGGACGTCTTATCCTTTAGGCCACGACGACTTAAGTACCCGCTGCTAGAAATTTCAGTAATGCTTACAAAATAACTTTATGAAATCAGAATAAAAACTAAAGAATATGGCTGAGTTATTAAAAAGAGAGGTGGCTGTTAAAAACAATCAATACTGCCTCCGTAGTTATGAAACTACTTATTTATTTTTATGAATTTATTTATTATTGTTAATTTTATATTATTATTATTTATTTATTATTTATGTTTGTACGTACGCTCCCAAAAGATCAGAAAAGGATGGACTGATTTGGATAAAATTTTCAGGAATTTTTCAGGTTGCCTTAGCTGTCAGGATTACCTGTGAAGTTTGGTAGGAATCTGGTCAAAGTCAAATCCAATATCGGTCATCAAAGCGGGCCGGGTTTGACTTTGCTTAAAATAAGTCGTGTCAAAAGTACCGTTTTACGAATGAATTTAGAAAAGAAATATTTTTTTTTTATTTTTATTGCTTAGATGGATGGACGAGCTCACAGCCCACCTGGTATTAAGTGGTTACTGGAGCCCATAGACATCTACAACGTAAATGCGCCACCCACCTCGAGATATAAGTTCTAAGATCTCAGGTATAGTTACAACGGCTACCGCACCCTTCGAACCGAAACGCATTACTGCTTCACGGCGGAAATAGGCGGGGTGGTGGTACCTACCCGTGCGGACTCCCAAGAGGTCCTACCACCAGTGATNCTTGTCTAAAATTGTAGCTACCTAAATAGTATTTGTTAGGTTTTGTCATACTAATACATTTATTTTTTATCATGCAATTAATGTCAATAGTGTAAAATATATTTTGTGACTTGCATGGTGTCATGACATAATAATTATTTACATTTGAAATTGTTTGCATAAAATCATTAATACTATGTCTCATTTTGTTTTCCGCTGGCATACTCTGAATAAATGGAAATGCAAACATGATGATCTTTTTCACCTGTAGTGTTAATAATTGATTTATTTGATGTTTTATATCTCTTATATCTGCATTAAATATGTTTGTACGTACGCTCCCAAAAGATCAGAAAAGAATGGACTGATTTGGATAAAATTTTCAGGAATTTTTCAGGTTGCCTTAGCTGTCAGGATTACCTGTAAAGTTTGGTAGGAATATGGTCAAAGTCAAATCCAATATCGTTCATCAAAGCGGGCCGGGTTTGACTTTGGTTAAAATAAGTCGTGTCAAAAGTACCGTTTTACGAATGAATTTAGAAAAGAAATATATTTCATACTAGCTGACCCGGCAGACTTCGTAGTGCCCTAATCGATAAATAGAAGACACACCAAGGGGAGACGTCAAAGGAAAAACAAAATTCTTTGTTTTTATATAATTCCGAGCTTTTTTATATTTTTTCACCTTTTAAACCTTCTGTGGACTTCCACGAATAATTCAAGACCAAAATTAGCCAAATCGGTCCAGCCGTTCTCGAGTTTTAGCGAGACTAACGAACAGCAATTCATTTTTATATATATAGACTACACAAGCATTGCAATTCTAATGTACTAAATAGTGGTAAGTTCCAACTGGTTGAACTGCTGCTGTGCGGGGTAGGTAAACCGTGCGTTGTCTTTTTTTTTACCTAAGCGGATAGCCTTGAGAGGCTATTTCAGCGTAACCTTAACTAGTAGGTGAGCTCACGGGGCTCAAACCGAAGTGATGCTAACACTGACCCTAGTAAGAGCAGTGCTTTGCAGAATCAACCACCGGATCAGAAACGCGACCCACTGAGAAGATCCGGCGAGAAACTCAGCGGGCTGTGTCTGAGAGTTAATTTATTCGTCGAGCCCTTCGTCGCAAGCGACGGGTTCGACGAGAACGGTGACCGGTGCTTGAAGTACCTAGAAGCACCGTCAGTGGATCGGGAGGATCCGAGATGACGTGTTTTGGGCGACGTCGACTGCTTTCCATTCTTTCCGCAGGATCGGGAATGTAGTTACCGGCGGCCACGATGAGAGGGTTCTCGTGTCGTGCCGCTTTATCGAAGTGGCCCCAATGTTGTTGTTCGGAACTTGTATATATGCGCTTTATCTTGAAAATGTCGTGAGCGATATTCAGGCATCTGTCAATTATCTTGCGTTGTATGATGGCTACCCGCCACAGGCTCCAGTAACCGCTTAATACCAGGTGGACTGTGAGATCGTCCAACCGTCTAAGCAATAAAAAAAATAATGAAAGATTATTGTTGCATCGTGCGATCAAACTCCGAAATGAAGACTCTTCAGCATTTCTTGACTGCTTTAACGTCTTCCTCAAACGAGATAAGAGGAGAGTCGTCCGCGTTATACAACTGTTGAACTAAGGCTCTACTAATTTCCCAAAAAACGGTAACCACCTACTTTCAGGAGAATCTGATTATTATAAGAAATGAAATTTAAACTAATTGGAATTTCATTATTATATTATTTTATTTCGTTATAGATTGGTTATAGTTATAATATAAACGCAACTATATAAAAAAAAATCGTTTTTGCGTATAATGCAAATTAAAAGAAGGTAAATAAGTCCACATGTTTATGGACATGTGTGTCATTTAGTTCCTACTCTGTAGACAGCCTATTGTTAGTAAAAGTACTTCTTGGTACACAACAATGTGAGTAGTTAACAATGTGTGTTTCTTTTTAAAACAGTAACGCTTATTACGACACTCGGATAATGAGATTCGTGTTTTACTATGTAACCGTGTCACAAGATTTTACGCTGAAATTTTCAATGATATATTATTTAGTAACAAATTATCACTAAAATAATAATACTGTTATAAATATAGATATCTCGTGTTTGTTACTGAAAAGATTATTTAATAATTTTATAAAAATAGTCGACTGAAACTAAAAATTAACTTAGGCAATCGCTAAAAAAATTCTCTTCTGTTGATCATGAAAATTATTAAACAAAATATAATTATGAAAAAAAAATTTATACGATTAAAAGCGTTTATATGCCTTAAAATCAATTCGAAAACCCAAAGTTAATCTCGGGATGTTGAATCGATGTATCATCATTCGACGCGTGCTTGAATTATAAGTGGTAGTGAACAGCAATTAAGTGTATAATCTATGGTGAACAGGGCCGCGACGCGACGCCTCTGTGCGCGAAGTTTGCACAGGCTAGGCGCCAGGACAATAGGGGCGCCCTCACCGAAATTATTTATGTTATTTATGTATCGATAAATAAGTAGGTACCTACAATAGGCGCAACGTTTGCCCTCTAAATAACAAAACATATAATGCATTTATAGTACAAGTCTCCCCAGATTTACGTCAGAACAATAAGTCAAAATTAACAAATAATAAAAATAATAAAAATTTAAACATGTAGATTCGTAAAAATAGGAGACGCTTTATGGGTTTCGCACACGGGCGCTGCCGGAGGTCGGCGCGGCCCTTGTAGTGAAAGAGAAGAGCTGTCACCCTTCGTCGCATCGTGCGAGATTATTGATTAAAAGAAGTTGAGAATCGTAGCCACAATGTTTGGCAACGATAGATCAAACTTTACATGTGCGTTGAGGATGACGAGGGCAAAATGACATCCCTCATATACGATGCCATCTGTGTCATATTGCAGCCGAGGAAATTACTCTATCTTCAGTACCCTTTCTACACGTTGTACATACTTATGAAGACAATTATGATCACAAAAGTCAGGGAATTTTGTTATTGTATACCTCATTAAAAAAGCCATGTATATTATTATACTAGTGTTAAGAATTCTTGTAAGAGTTTGCATTTTAAGAGTCTTGAATAAATATTATATATTATTATAGTGGAAATTAAAGTGAACCGAATTAAATTTAAATTAAAGACAACCATATGCAGTAATTACGCAAATATAATTTAGCGAGTTTGATTTTTATTACACGATGTTATTCCTTCATCTTGGAACATTTGTTGAGTACGTATTTCATTAGAAAAATTAGTACCCGCCTGGGATTCGACCACCGGTGCATCGCTCAACACGAATGCACCGGACGTGTTATCTCTTAAGCCACGACGACGGCGTTAGTTGGAGTTTCACTTTATTTCATTTCGTCTCAACGATTCATTTTTCGATTTCTTTCAAAAGATATAATTCTTATTATTCGGTCTATTAATGGAAACTGTTCTGGAATGTGTGGGCTATGTTACCTTTGCTTATCCAAACCTATTAAGTGTTGACTAAAATATTTTTTTTAGCTTTTTTATATTTTTCAAAATATCAATCGAAGTTCAGTTGAAAATGTTCACAATTTTACTTATAGTCCTTTCATCCCAATTTTAAATAAATCAATTTCGTTTCATTCTGCTATTTCTCACATTCAACTTATCAGACAAAGCTATTTTTACTGTTCAATAAGAGAATAAAAGAATTGGCTGTATGATCGTATAGCTTTGACTTTCTTCCATTGGAGTAATGAAACTAAAGTACTACTGTCGTCTGTCATTCATCGAATGACCTGAGTAAAAAAACCCTAAAGTTTAATACTTAATTAATACTTACGTATCATATAAACATGAATACAAAAATCATCCTAATATACATTTCGACATTCGTGCTCGGCAATGTTTATTGCGCTAGTGATCTGACTGAAGAAGAAATCGGACATGTTATCGAAGGCCGTGTGTTTCCTCCTGAGGATCCCAACAACAGCAATTGGCAATTGGACACCCGCGTTCACGTTAACGGAGGCGAGTACATCGGTTTTGTCCGAGAAGATGGGACATTTGTGGTGCATAATTTACCGTCCGGTTCATACGTCGTCGAAATCGTACACCCAGACTACATGTACGAACCCGTGCGTGTCGAAATCAATTCTAAAGGCAAATACAGAGCTAGAAAAGTCAATTACGTTCAAACTTCACAAGTCATTCAAGTACCTTACCCGCTGAGGATGAAACCAGTCACCAAATTCAGATATTTTCAAGTTCGGGAACAATGGAGGCTCACTGACTTCTTGTTCAACCCAATGGTGGTAATGATGGTGCTACCATTATTCTTAATCATGATTCTACCTAAAATGATGAATGATCCTGAGACTAAAGAGGATTTGAAGCAGATAAGCAATCTGGCAAAAATATCTGATGTGCCGGAAATGTCGGAAATGTTTACTAAAATCTTCAATAGGGGTTCAGTGCCAAAACCAACGAGTTCTAAAGCTAAACAAATTAAGAAAAGACAATAGAACAATATTTATTAGTTAATATTCACCACTAAATCAATATGTAGGTTATTAAAATTATTTAAAATGAATCTTGTCTATTATTTAATTCCAAACACACTACAATTACTACTAATGTTTTAAACATGGCCAGTTATCTAACATATCAGATCTTTGTTATGTGTTATCTATTTTCGCACAAACTGAGTCAGCACTCTGGGTGCAGACTGTGGTCCGCTCTTTGGTGACCTCTCGTCTATATTAATAATAACTTCCATGGGATATATAACAAAATATAAGTATGTATTTGCCTTATTTCATAGTTTTATTTCAAACATCAATTAATGGCAAACATGCAAATAAATGAAACTGCAGTGTCTGTGATTTTAAATTTTTGTTCATACTTATTATTCTCCAAAACGGTTCAACAATATCAGAGGACTTGTCAGGTAAAAAGTATCACCAGCTTTAATATTTGAAGAAAACCATCTTGCAAATGTTTGGGTTTGTAAGCTTAAAGACATAAAAGTGGCAAATAGAAAGGGATATGAGTTTTTAATAAGACAGAATACCAGAAAAAAAAACAAAATGTGTGCAATTCACACGTGGTAGAAGTGAAACCTTCCAAAATTAAAATACAATTATCCTAAACGTCTTAAGTATATGTAAAATTTCGTCATTAGTAAATAATTGTAAGGTAGCGCCCTCTGTGAATTGATATTTTAATTTCACGTATAATCCTAAATTAACAAGAGCTTTCATACACACGTTAGTATTAAAAAATCTCACAGATGGCGCTGTATTAAATAGTATGTATATTTCTGTCTCATTCTTTGCTGGCTTCATCCTACACATTTTTGTATTTGTGTCTCTTNCTCTGTGAATTGATATTTTAATTTCACGTATAATCCTAAATTAACAAGAGCTTTCATACACACGTTAGTATTAAAAAATCTCACAGATGGCGCTGTATTAAATAGTATGTATATTTCTGTCTCATTCTTTGCTGGCTTCATCCTACACATTTTTGTATTTGTGTCTCTTACCTGTCGTTTTTTCCGTTGCATCCGGTTTGAAATCACAATGATTCTAAATAAGTTTTCACTTCAAAAATTACAAAGAGTAATGCAGGGGTGCCCATACATGAGGTCTCTGTATCCCATGGGTGAACATAAACACATACTGTTTATGGGGGTTGACAAGGTAAACAATCAACCACTATTCATAACCGATGCAACTGTGCCAGTATTCCATTCTCGATGGCGAGTGCCAATTTTACTAGTGACATACGTACTTAACAAATGTTTTCGATTAACTTCCACAGTGAAGGAATAAGATTGTCTAATAAAAAACAAACGCGGCAAAAAAAAAAATGCGCATTTACTGGTGATAGGACGTCTAGCAACGTTTTTTTTTATATTGCTTACTGGGTGCACGAGCACACAGCCCACCTGGTGTAAAGTGGTTACTGGAGCCCATTGACGTCTTCAGCATAAATGCGCCACCCACCTTGAGATATAAGTTCTAAGGTCTCAGTATAGTTACAGCTTAAACTTAAAGCTCATGTCTCAAGGTGAGTAGCGGCATTTACAGTTTTGATGTCTATGAGCCTCACTAACCACTTAAGTACAACTTAAGTCTCAAATATTAAGTGTTATATATGTGTGCACATAAGACGACATGGGCCGTGAGCTCAGAAACATATCTAAGAAACAAAAAAAATTTTATTTGTATATCTCGAGATAGGTACTCTTATAAGTTGTGTTATTGTTCCAACTATTTATTGAAATGACTAATATTTTAGTGGAATGGACCATTGTTGTATTTCTACTTAGTGAATTTGATGCCAATTTTACTTACATAACCAACTGGCCAATAAAACAAAATCATTTAAATTGTAAGTTTTTTTTATTTTGAAATAAATCTATAAAGAATCAATAATAATTCACTAATTCTATAGACACGCTACAAAGCAATTCATTAGAATCCACACAAGAATTTATCAAAAGATTACAAAAAAAATCAGTCATTGGTACACATTTTGGACGGAAACTACTAAGTAAAACTTTTACATAATTTATGAGAATCATAATAATAATTATGTTTTTATAAATAACATTTTTTTGATCAATATAGCTAAAGCATTTCTATAATTTATATTTCTGGACGGTAAATTACTTTTTGTACACATCAAATTGGTGGTTTTGTTACAAAATACTTAAGAAACATTATCCATTGTTTATATTGCTTTGATTCTTTGGATGAGAATTTGATATTTTATCGCTAAAAACATTATTTGAGAATCTGCTAGGGACTGTGATTGTGTATTATGTGAAACAACACATGTTTGTCTAAAATTTGAATCTGGAAATGAATTTCTATTTTTTTTTGTTCACAAGTAAATAAGTATATGTAACTATGTATTTCTGTGCATGTCTCATCTTGTTTACACTAAAAAATATATATTTACATTTTCATAACATGATTCGATTTCTACTCTTTTAAGGCAAGCACGACCGCATTCTATGCATTTATTGGATTTTCTAAAATTTGATATGTGAAAAGTAATATATTTTTAATATGACTGAAATTAAGTAAGGTGCTAACAAATGTACACAAGAATATGAGTTTTAATAGTATCAGTTAAAACTTGTGATTACAGCATTATCTTTGATAGCTGTGACTTCAGGAGAGAGTATAAATCACGTTCAAGGGACGTTCAAAATTAAATGCAAAGAAAAGTAGATAACCAGGTTTTTTTTTAAAAATCTATATTTTTTAAAACAGTCCATAGGCAAAGTGAAGGATGACTAAAGTATGTTTACTGATATATATATATTTTATTGCTCCAGACGGTAGCACGAGTTTACAATCTGCTGTTATCGGAATTATTTGACATCACAACCCGAATATCTCCATCGACTCATTATTTGCATATTTTTTATAATTCCACATCACCTTTCAAACTAGAACGCAGGATTGCTTCGTGTCAGAAATAATTGACTAACCCGCTGTTTGTTTCTCAAGACTATTATTTAGGAGCCGGTGGTAAAAATAATGTTTAAACATTCAATGACTGTGAATTTAAATGAACTCGCGATGGTCTCCTTACGATAGCAGTTATTAGAAACTCTAGACCAAGATTATGGATTATGGACTATGTTCCAAGTCGTATGACTTACGCGATTACGATATACCAAATATGCTTCTTTTATAATGCGGGCCAGTCTTAATTAAATTGCTATATCCGCTTCATACAAGACTTGTATATACCACTTGCGGTGCGATAGGGTGCGTATAGACGCTTAACCGTTGAAAAATTAATCAATCATAAACTTTAACAAATTTCTTTTTTTAATTATTCATTTTATATTGAATATCATGTTAGCAGGAGTTGGTACAAATCATTATTATTTATAGTTAAAAAGTGTTCTTATATGTATTACTCTAAAATGCTTCACATATCTCTCAGATATTACTGAATAAGGATTGTTAATTGAAGGCTTAATCTCAGCGATGAAACCACTTTCTTAGTAGGTTTTTTTCGGAACAGATTTCTGTATGGGTATAAAGTCTTACAAACACATGTTTTCATACAGAGGGGACTACTACACTTAAAACTTAAAACTACTGGAATGGAAGAGAATTGGGACAGAAGCTGATAAATGCTCAAGAATTACTGGTAACATTGTGAGAACACTTGAGTTTCCTATATGCTATCCATTGTTTGGGACGTGTACGAGTCAATATTCCTGGCAACTATTGCAGCCTAGGAAGAACTCATAGGATATAAAGATATATACGACTACCTTGTCTTTGTTGTTAATTTAACTCAAAATAGTATTTATCTTTTTTTAGAAATTAATTATTTCTTTATTTAGGCGCAATCAACTAACTGCCTTTAATATAAAATGTTTATAGCTTGCCAATGTTACTTCAGGACCTGACAGGATCAAACAATATATTAGGGTGTTTTAGACACAAATACTTTTCTGAATTATTGTAATCATTCCGTATTCCATACAAGCTTAATCATAATCACATAAATTGCATCAATTTTTATTATAACTGCAATAAAAAGTTCTTGTAAATGTCTTAACGTGTGATGTTAAAATCTAATGTATATTTTACAATAAAATATTTTATTGATTAATTTGAGTTTTTCTCTTTAAAAATTTGTTACCAATTTTTGTAGAAAGGTGGTTTGTATAAAGATATGATTGTCATGATATCAACTATAAAAGTATAAAATAATGTGGATTTATTTACAAATATATATCTAAATATAAGTACAAATGAGATGAAGAAAAATCATTCTCAATGATCACTGGATCGTATTGTCGTTGCCGTTGAAGAAATATAGTTTAGAATATGATTTTTTTGTCTATGTAAAAACTTAGATATTTTTTGTTTTCAATGTTTTTAAAGATATACATTTGAATTTGTGTAAATACATTTAAACGGTAGTAAACTTGACTCATTTAAATATAATTCCACGAAATTATACGCCCTAATTGAGAACACACCTCCTTTTTATAGATTATTTAAAAACTAATATTTACGATTATATTTTAGAATCTCCTTTCTAAAATAATTTTACTTTTACAACTTTACTTGTTTATTAGATGAAAACACAAATGGAACATATCGACGCTTGAAAGGCAAACGTGACTAAGCGACAACGTGAGCTTTACAGTAGACTAATTTAAAGTTGAAATACCTGAAAACAAAATTTATTTTAACGAATCTAGCTGTAGTAGAATCTAGCTAGTAGCTGTAGGATTGAAATGATTTTAATAGACCTAGAAATATTTTTTTTTTGCGCATAGAATATGGTTATTGCCTATCATTTATGTACAAAGCAGTTATTGTCGCTTTAGTCATGTTTGCCTTTCAAACGTCGATATATTTTTGGGCTTGCGTTAATAGCGTACATATTTCCATTGGGAATAATTAAATAGCATGATAATTGTGAGGACTGGTTAGCAAATTCCACGTTACTAACTTAAGCCACGTATGTGAGTATGTGAGTACGTGCAGCACGTGTGCTCAGTGACACATTAGGGACTTTTTTTTCAAGTACCCTCCACAAACGTAATACATCTATTTGTACGTTTCCGATGACGTAAATAATACTTTTAATGAACGTGATTCTTGTCGAACTTCAGAGAATAAGCTTTGCTGAAGCCTTTCGTATCGTATGGTGGATTGTAAGCTCGTCGGTCGCGTCCTAACGATAACTTACGGATGAACACAATGGTCCACGAAATTTAAAACAAAATATACGAACTCGATTTGAGTAAAAAATCAACTAAGCGTGAAAATTCCGAATAGAAAATTTATAAGTAACATAATTTATTAAGTTATCTTAGTCACAAATTTTCACAATTCTCAATTAATATTAATTGTTATTTTTCAGTTTATTGTTAAATTAGTTGTTAATTTTCAATTAATTTTCTGTTGTCCCAGACTAAAAAAAAATGTAGCGCCTAAGTAGACTACAACATATTTTAGACTTGTAAGATCTTCATTTTTCAAGAATATCTCATAACAGAAATATGATTTCAAATTAATAGAAACTATGTCTAAGCCTTCTGAGATAACTATATTACTGTAACATCAATTGTCTATTGAATTTCCATAAAAAAATATTCAAGAAGTTTAACTTCTCACGCGTATCCACGTTCAATTGACACAACGTTTTTTGTCACGATCATTATACCCGTTCGATTCTAAAGTCGCGACAGGTTAGTTAGTGTAGAAGTGGCTGCTGACTACGCTATAGCGCTCCGAGCGTCCCGTACAGATGGCGCGCGGCTATTGACATGACAGTGGCCAGCGCGAGCGGCGCGGCGTGGCGGGGTCGGGCGGCGGCGTTGTATATCGCGCAGTACGGGCATTGGGACGAGCCGCACACTTCGCAGATGTTCAGCAGGTAGGTCGGCAGCGCGTCCACTATCGTCTCGTTGTACCGCTCTGAAACATTTAAGGAGTAGTTGTGTATGATTTTTTTACAAGTGTCAATTGTAACCAACAAAGAAATTTAAATGTAGGTGGTGGTAGGACCTCTTGTGAGTCCGCACGGGTAGATACCACAACCCCGCCTATTTCTGCCGTGAAGCAGTAATGCGTTTCGGTTTGAAGGGTGGGGCAGCCATTGTAACTATACCGAAACCTTAGAACTTATATCTCAAGGTGGGTGGCACATTTACGTTGTAGATGTCTATGGGCTCCAGTAACCACTTAGCACCAGGTGGGCTGTGAGCTCGTCCACACATCTAAGCAATCAAAAAAATTATGCTAGATTATGCTAGATTATTTACAAATACACAGTAGATACAGTTTAGTACAATGACGTCAACATTCAAATGTGCGACACCTGTTCTATCTGATTCTCTATTCTCCTGAATTCTACCTGAGCAACTGCAGTAGGAGAAAGTGGCATCTCCGCCTCCCTTACAATCGCCCACAAATTTTTACTGGTGGTAGGAAGGACCTCTTGTGATTCCGAACCTACCTACTTCTGCCACAACCACCACCCCACCTACTTCTGCCGTGAAGCAGTAATGCTGCTTAGAGGGCGGGACAGTCACTGTACTGTGAAAAGTGAGACCTTAGAACTTATATCTCAAGGTGTGTGGCGCATTTACGTTGTAGATGTTTATGGGCTCTGGTAACCACTTAACACCAGGTGGGCCGTGAGCTCGTCCGCCCATCTAAGCAGTAAAAAATAAAAATAAAGAACAACGCTTGCATCTCGAAACTGTATCCGGGTGTGGATCGTGACGAACGAAACACATTAGCATCGTTTAATGGGGAAAAACCCTTCTTAATAGAAAACATTTTACCTGGCGCGTAGTAGTCGTAGACCTTGAGGGACAAGTACCGGGACATGTTCGCGACCGGGTACCAGCGCTCCAGCGTGAAGTTCACGCACGTCGGCTCCCGGGACAACTGTATCATTGGAACATTATACATCACTGTTACGAAGCAAAAGCTTTGTACCCCTTTTTAGGAAAATTACGCAAACGGAGGAGTATGAAACTTTCCACACTTAATAGTTTATATAGAGTAGGAGTGCAGAATGCTGTTTTTTTTTAATTATGCATAAAAGATCCATTGTATCAATTTAAAAAAAATATGACACGCACTGGTGTATACCACCACCAATACATGGTGTATTTGACATACACACGCATATATACTCTTTTGTTTATTAAAGTCTGTGGTCAAATTGAGAATAGATTAATTTTGTTTGTCTTCAATATTATTTATCTATAGTGTAGCTTTGGCGAAAACTGTTAATATAGAAGTCTATGATAGTCTTTGATAATAGACCCTTAATAATATTCAAACTTATAATTTAAATTGATTACGGTCGAATTTCCACCGTTGGGCGATCACTAGTATATTTATAAAATACCAGGCTGACATAAATGTAAGGAGAACTTCGAATACGTTGTTTTCATTCTGTTTTGCCAACTGTCTATATTTTTTTAATTAAATTTATAATTTTTTCATATAAATTCCTAATTGGAATATTTTTTCAGTAATAATAACTGTGCATGTGTAGAGTTCGCGATCAACCTGTTAAAAAATGTCATGTCAAGACACACTCACATATTCAAAATAGAAGAATAGTTTGACGGGCGTGTATCGGGCCCTCTGCAGCGTGGGCACGGAGCGGGACAGCACGTAGGCGTCCAGCGCCTGCTGCTGGATGCGGTACCCCGTCGGGACCCCCGCCTCCAGCACCGCCATGCCCGAGCGAGGACTCTCCTCCTCTAGGGTCCAGCTGTCAAAGAACAATATTATAGGACGAACCAGCTCCTCGCTGCCGTGCGTCATAAAATAACAAGTCGTGTGGTAACATAAATTAGTATAATCGTCGGTGGTGGGGTGTACTATGAGTCGTGCGACTGCGCGTCACAATTGCGATACACTTGTCATTGAAATGAGGAGAGGGCGGAGGCGGACTGACCTGGCACAGGCCTGGAACATGATGTGCGACTGGTTCCGTCCGTAGTAGTGCTGGTGCGAGAGCAGCTCGAAGGCGTGCAGCGGGGGCGGCGTGAGGAAGCGCGGGATGTCCACGTTGTACGTCACCGACATCTGCAGGATGGCGAACCCCGCGCCGCGCGCCGTCACCTTCACCGTGCCCCACGCCTCCGGGATCTGCGGCGGGACGGGCGCGTTAGCGAGGGGGGCGGGGGGTTGGGGGCGGGGAGCAGCGCGCGCGAGTCCCTACCTGCACGCTCTGCATGACGGCCAGGTTGGCGTTGTCCACGTGCAGCGTGCGCGTGGTGCCCCCCAGAGCGACGGCGTCCACCTCCACGGTGAGCGAGCTGACGTCGCGGAGACGCTTGCGGTTCGTGTACTCGATGAGGGCCCGCAGCGCTATGTACGTGTCCTGAAACAAACACCACCCGTTATTATTCGACAAACTGTTACATAAAATATATTTAATATTTTGATAATTTTGCTGCTGCCATCTCTAGCATTCAGCCAGTCTATGGACGGGTGCGATGTGCTGCTTTAGCGATGTGTACACATCAGCACCGCATTAGTAAATAGTGAAAGATACTTGAAATAATATTTACTTAATGTAATGTATGTAAAATCTATGTAATTAATGTAATTTAATTGAATGTAATTCGTTTCCAAATGATTGTTCACCTGAGAGTTGTCTGGAAGAGATAAGCTGTTAGCGATAAGACCGCCAATTGTACTTTTTTGTATTTATTGTTTTGCATTTTTTTTAGTGTACAATAAAGAATACTCTCTCTCACTCTCTCTCTTTACCTCTCTTAATCGAGTGCTTTAAATTTAACATTCAGAATTACGATTAATAGAAAAATTGTTATACCCAACCGTAATCAGCTTAAACCTTAGTACACGAGATGGTACACTAATTCCTACTTCACCGTGAAGAAATTATACGTTGTGCATATTCCAGTACGATAGACGTGAGTTCACGTGCTCAGAGTTTCTAGAGTTTCGGGCGTCGTGGCCTAAGGGATAAGACGTCCGGTGCATTCGTATGTAGCGATGCACCGGTGTTCGAATCCCAGGCGAGTACCAATTTTTGTAATGAAATACGTACTCAACAAATGTTCACGATTGACTTCCACGGTGAAGGAATAACATCGTGTAATAAAAATCAAACCCGCAAAATTATAATTTGCGTAATTACTGGTGGTAGGACCTCTTGTGAGTCCGCGCGGGTAGGTACCACCACCCTGCCTATTTCTGCCGTGAAGCAGTAATGCGTTTCGGTTTGAAGGGTGGGGCAGCCGTTGTAACTATACTCGAGACCTTAGAACTTATATCTCAAGGTGGGTGGCGCATTTACGTCCTAGATGTCTATGGGATTCAGTACCCACTTAACACCAGGTGGGCTGTGAGCTCGTCCACCTATCTAGGAAATAAAAAAAAGCGACCATACCTGCGTCGAGCCCCACCCTCCGTCCTTGAGCCTCTGAGCGTTCAGCCACATGACGATGGGTTCGTTGATGTCCTGGTGGTCCATGCAGGCCAGCAGCGCGAAGGCCGTGGTGGCTATGTTGTTGGAGTCGTACTTGTACGGCAGCCGGGGCAAGAGGAAAGGCTTCTGATTTTCCATCTTGTACGGAGGCTGGGGTACTGGTTCTTTGCCCCAGTATACTAGGCCACCTTGAGAAAATTTCCATAAAAGTTAAAAATGTGTTTCTAGATATGTTGCTTTGGCCTCAAATGACGTCATAGACAGTGAACCATGAGTTTTATTTGGCAGTTTTAATAAATTTAGTCTCCGGTTTTCTAGATTAGGTTATTTATCTTACATCATGTTTCGAACTGTTAGTTTATATATTTAAAGTTTTCAAATGTGTATTCTATATATATACGGAACTGATATAATCTATGTGACTTTTATATAATGATGTCCATTACCGCTGGCCATGCCATTGACTAGAATCAACTGTCTGGAAACAGCTGCATAATACTGTCCCGAGCAATCTGATCCTCCACAGCAGAAACAATGTGTTTAACAATTCCATTTACTTACTTATAAAATAGATTTTTTAATATTTTGCTTTTTAAATGTCAATATTTAAAGGCATGAGTGATAGCCTCAATAGTATAAAGTCACTATATTGCTGAGTTTCTCAGGTTATATCTATATTCTAAGCCTGTGTGGCTTAGACCCATTTTAATTCGATTGTCACTTGTATTTGTAAATATTTTAGATGTAAGTAAGCTATGACGGTGTTCAGTGTGGAGTACCCTCGGACCGCTCCCTCTGCTTGAGCAGGCGGTAGGCGTGGTCGGCGGCGGGCGCGCGCGCCACGGACAGCGCGTGCGCGACCAGCGCCAGCGCGTAGGGCTCGCCCGCGTCCTGCAGCGCGCGCAGGTGCCGCTCCAGCCACGCCGCGCCGCGCTGCTGACTCGACGCCACGCGCGCCGCCAGGCCCTGAAGTGTGTATACTTATATATTATAGCACAGCACAGCATTTAGTATATAACATAATTAATAGGTGCAATCTCGTATGTCCCCCTAATAAGGCTTCTTCATAATTGAATATGCAATTTCGAAAAGGGCACATCTCTGAAAATGTAAAATATTCAGGAAATGAAAAAAACTGATTATTTTCTAAAGCAGTGTAAAATTTAACATATTAACTTTTGAGATATATTTTAGTGTTAAGTAGCAATTAAAAATTACTGGAATTATTATAAAATAGGTGTAGGTAAGCCTCAAAACTACATGTATATGAAAAAACGTATTTGACAAAATATGCGACATGTGCCCTTTTCGAAATTGCATATTCAATTGTAAACTAGGATTAAGATGATTATTAAACATGGAATACACGCAAGAAGACGTTTTCCTTTAACACCTCCCAAAGTACAACATTACATCTCCAAATATGTGACATTTATCGTCGGACACCTGCACATTCTTTTTGAAGTGAAACTTCTTTAGGCGTATTGAGAGTAAAATTTAACTCGCGACAGATACGTTAGGGTTAGAGAGAAAAGATACAATTTAGGACGAGCAAGAGTGAGAAAATAGACAAAGCGTCTCGCGAACCACTCGATCGTGGAAAGAGGGATAGGACAGAGCGAGCTAGATCGTTTCTCTTAACAGCATTCCCTACAGGCTAAAAGCCCACACGGCAAAAGAAGTTTCACTTCTTTCAAGTGCACCAAGTAGCACGCGCACAATTTTGTTTTGTTACGAAGCTCACATGATTGCAAGTACAATCTAAATTATTGTGCTAAAAGAGCATCGTAATAATTTTATTCAAAGCATACTTTTTTTTGCCTTTGTGGGCAGTGCTATGTTAATATTACTTTATTTGTAATCAAATGGCTCTTGGCTCTGATATAAATTTGAGGTGTTTTTGTTTTATAACATACTATGAACTGTTTGTAACGATACGATAAAGGATGTGTTCCATATAATCTGAATGCAATATGCCCGCGATTAATACTACATAAGGCGGGTTGTCTGTAATTGCCCATTAGTTCCTTTAGATAAGTAGAACAAGGCCGGTCGTGCCGCGCGACGCACCTCCCGGACTCCGATGTCCTTCAAGTTCTTGACGGTCTCGAGCGTGATGACGACCTGCGCCGTCAGCGTTATGTTCCGCTGGATTATCAACGAATCTTTAGTCTGAAACAATATCATACGAACCCTTTATTTATTATAAAACATTACCACTATACATATCAATAAAGTTCAATATTTTATATTTAATAAAAACTATTTACGTCATCTAAATAAGCAATAGGGTATCCGTGAAAACAAAAGTTTTGAAAATACATCTTGTTAAGCCGGTAAGAGCAACGCCATCTATTGTCGAATAGCAGAAACAAATATCAAAAGATCTAATGAAACCGAGAACGCTCAAGAAGTACAACGCCATCTGTTGTCAAAAGGCAAAAGGAAATCGAAAATATTCGACTTGCGAGGAATGTTCTCGATAATGTCGTATCGACTAATAAAAGCGTTGCAGAGATGACACGAAGTCAGTCAGTAATCGGATCTACTCGAAGCTAAACAGCGAACGGATCACTTGAAGCGAAGCGGAAGAAGTGAACTACGAGTTGTAAAGTGTTCTGTGAGTGTTCTAAGTGTTGAATACAGTTTTAATTTATACTTCGGTAGAATTTTTATTTATCCCGAACCCCAGCGCGTAACAATATATTGGTAATTTCTTCTATTGCCTGAATATTCTACAAACTGACGCACAGCATCCAGAGGCATCACGAGCGGTGTCCAGGACTACCTTCGCATGACATCTCAAGTCAATCTCTCTGTATGACTGCTTTGTGGCCAAGGAGCGAGGGCTGTGGCGCCTGTCTGGTCACGACACAACCCATTACCGGTATAGACATTTAGATAGACATACACACATATAAAAATATAGACATATCGTGACTTTGGTTTCCTTGGTCCTGGAAACCACATATCGGCTGGTCTGTCGGACGAGAACTCTTGCGTCCAACAATCTGAAGACGAACTACGGAGGGGGCGGCTCACCTCGACTATGGTGGGGTCGTAGTTCGCGTGGCTGAGGTACTCCCTGTACAGACTGCTGTTCTTGGGCACGACGAGGCTGGAGTTGTCGTTCCTGTTGGGCAGCCACGTCACCTCGTAGAAGGCACCCTCCGGCGTCTGGTGGTCCAGGACCCACGACACCGCCATCGATATCACCTGCAACCAGACATAGAGGTAACAGTTTATCTCGAACGAAATATGCTTCTAACTCTATTGTCCGTAGATCTTGTGGGTTGTATGATATTAAGTTCTCTAATGCTGACAAATGTTTTATTTGTCACTTGTAGCATATAGAAAAGCTATTACGGAATATTTATAAGGTGATTTAGTCCGATGAGTATTATTAAGTTTTATAGCGTAAGTTGATGTACATGTAGTGTAGTTAATATGCAATGTTGCAATATGACGTGTATGCATGTGCGATGTCGGGCGACGCTCCTGCGAGGGCAGTCGTTCGCCTACCGCCAGCTAAGCAAGGTGTGCAATAAATGCCTAATATATAATCAGTATTTTATTGAAGAAACCAATGTTACTAAATACATAATAATATGAGCGTGTTGTGTTGATTTTGCTTTTTTGAGTAAACTTAAATTTCTGAATTTCTCATTTTTTTTCCTTTGTTCACTCTCTACTTACATGTGATTTAGTTGGTTTTGTTATTATTTTAGTTATTTTTTTTAATATTACATGTTTATTTTGTACTGTTGGTTTCCCAAACAAATAAATCTTTCACAAATTGTCGATTTTCTTTGGGTGATCGAGCTATTGGTTCACCTGGTGGTGGTAGAATTGTACTCTGTAACCTATGTCCCAAGGTCAATTTTTCCTCCACCCTCTACTGGTAATGTAATTAGTAATTAAGTGTAGTGCGTAGATAGGGTGCACGGTCCCTACTCACGTCCGGGTCGATGTAGATGAAGTTCTCCCACTCGTTGAAGGAGGCGTCTTGGAAGATCTTGGCGCAGAACGACGTGAGCCACACACTGGACGACGACTGGTTCCTGCAGATAGCGGTTGTTGTTACGACTACAGCAGCGGTCGGGGAACTTTTTTAATTATTACCCCAAAATATTTTTGTGTAAGTTGATATTACCCCTTGGCGAAGAACAAAGAAAAAACGAAATCGCTTCATTTTAGTAACTTTCATAGCCCCCATGATAATTTAGAAAAGAAAACAATAACTAAAAATTTAACGATTCTAAAGAAGTTTCACTTCAATATATATTTTTAACTCACAAAAGTTTCACTTTTACCCCATTTGAGGTTATTTACCCCGGTTCCCCGACCGCTGGATTACAGCGATAAAACAAAATCGCTCCACTCCAATTATATCAGACTAAACTATATTTAATAACTACATTTACTGGTCGTATGACCTCTTGTGAGTCCGCACGGGTAGGTACCACCGCCCTGCCTATTTCTGTCGTGAAGCAGTAATGCGTTTCGGGTTGAAGGATGGGGCAGCCGTTGTAACTATACTGAGATCTTAGAACTTATATTTCAAGGTGGGTGGCGCATTTACGTTGTAGATGTCTATGGGCTCTAGTAACCACTTAACACCAAGTGGGCTGTGAGCTCGTTCACCCATTCAAGCAACAAAAAAAAAACAAAATGAGCTCACGCACATAACCTTTTGCTGACTTAACCCTTTGATTGTCATGTAGGTTACCGGTGCCCTACGCGACGCACTGAAGTCATGTCATGTCATTTGTGTTACTAAGCGTCTGGATTGCCTAACTCTACCTTCTTTTGTTTGTTAATAGTCTTTCAGGTCTCTTAGAAATAGATTCATTTTCATTTTCGTCTTTCTCACCCAGAGTTTATTATATATTCCAGGGCCTTAGTAAAAGTAAAACGACATGGTTACTTCAGTGTGCCACGTAGGGCACCGGTGACCTACATGGCAATCAAAAGGTTAAATCAGAGGTTCTCAAAGTTTTACTGTCACGTGACTGATGGGAGGAGGGTCCCGCTCACCAGTCGCTTCGGAACAGGCTGAAGGATCCGTCGGGTTTCATGAAGGACAGCTGCCGCTGGTACAGGATGTTCATGTGGTAGAACGCCTCGCGCTCCAAGGTCCTGTTCCTCTGGTTGATCAGCCGCATGTACAGGGTGAAGTACATGTTCGCGGCGAAACTGAACATGTTCTGTTCGGCAGAGTCCTGGGGACAGTCGCACATACGTTAACGGCTGCTGCGGACACATCTCAAACAGTCTGGGACGTTCTCAAGAGTGAAGAGTTTGGCGTAAAAAGCGCGCTGTATTTATTTTGTTCCTACCTAAGCTGGTAGTCTTGAGAGGCTATGTCAGCGTAACGTAACAAGTAGGTGAGCTCACGGGGCTCTAATTTGACGTCGTTGCTAGCTAACGTCCCTTGCGACGAAGGGCTCGACGAGTAAATTAACCAACAGAGGCAGCCCACTGAGTTTGTCGCCGGATCTTCTCAGTGGGTCGCGTTTCCGATCCGGTGGTAGATTCTGCGAAGCACTGCTCTCGCTAGGGTCAGTGTTAGCAACGTCGTCAGGTTTGAGCCCCGTGAGCTCACCTACTAGTTAAGGTTACGTTGAAGTGCTCTCTCAAGACCATCAGCTTAGGTAGGAAAAAAACAAGACAAAGTGATAACTTTATAGCTGTATGAAGTGGTTAGAAGCGTGCAAGTTACCATCGGCAGGTCCAGGAGGCTGGTGGCGTTGACGGGCATGGTGGGGAACAGCGGCCCCACCACGTCGCCGACCACGCTGACGCGCGCCTGGTTGGAGCCGAACACGTAGTAGCGGTCCACCTCGTACGGGATGACGGGCGTCTCCGTCACGTTCACGTGCATGTACTGGAACACGTACGCGCGGTTGGACAGGTCCAGCAGCACGGCCTGGTGCCGGTGCTGGGGCACGCCGTCCGCCTGAGGACAAACAACGAATTCTTGGATTAAAACACGAATATTTTAAAGACCATATGGGTAAGAACGGGGTGAACGAAGTAATGGTATATGATAGAAAAGTACGGAAGGAGAAAACATGATGCGCCGACCCCAGGTAACTTTTTTTTTTATTGCCCTTGTAGCATACAGCCCACCTAATGGTGAGTGGTTACCGTCGCCCATGGACTTCTGCTGAAGTCCATGGGCTTGGCTCTGGCTTGGCTCTGCCCCTGGCATAGCAATGCCAGGGGCAGAGCTGCCTACAAAAGACTGGGAGAAGGGCAGGATAATGATGATGATTTTAAAGACTGATGAGGTTTAACATAAATGAACATACATAACTTATGTCTTAGAATGAAATACTATGTTGCATCTTTAGAATCGAAGTGGCTTAATCCTTAAAATTCTCGTTTTTTGCGCAACGCCGAAAATGTAATTGAACAGTTGCAACTTTTTTAGTTTCGATTTTAATACTTTTCATGTTAATAATTTAATTTTATTAACTGATGTTCAAAGTATTAAAATTTTTAGTTAAGCCACTTCAATTCTAAAGGTGTGATGTTTTCGGCATATTTGGGGTAAAAAATACACTAATGTACACAGTACTCACCAGCACGTGTATGGTCTTGGTGTAGGTGTGCGTGCCGAGCAGCGCGGCGGCGTGCAGACGCACGTGCACGGTGCCGAGGCGCGCCGCCACCACGGGCACGTGCACGGTGCTGGCCGCGCCCGCCAGCACGTACACGAAGAACTGGTGCTCGCCGAACGACGTGCGCGGGTTGTACGAGCGGACCTGGGACGCGCACTCTAATGTAACTTCACTTAACAACAACAACACGAATCTCAGGCGGGCATCAATTTTTCTAATGAAATACGTACTCAACAAATGTTCACGATTGACTTCCACGGTGAAAGTGAATAACATCGTATAATAAAAATCAAACCCGCAAAATTATAATTTGCATAATTACTTGTGGTAGGACCTCTTGTGAGTTCGCGCGGGTAGGTACCACCACCATGTCTATTTCTGTCGTAAAGCAGTAACGCGTTTCGGTTTGAAGGGTGGGGTAGTCGTTGTAACTATACTGAGACATTAGAACTTATATCTCAAGGTGGGTGGCGCATTTACGTTGTAGATGTCTATAGGCTTCAGTAACCACTTAACTGAGCTCGTCCACCCACCTATGCAATAAAACTAAAAAACTTAACTCACATTCCTACCCTGTATTTTTATTTTTATCTTTACCATAACGATATTCCTCACGTGATTGGCTTGTATTTATTATAAGTGTCCAGTGTATTACGATCGAACAAGCAACAAGGCACGCACAGTAAGAACAGTCATTCAACAATCTGGTTCCGCGCAATTCGGGTTCAATCGTCTCCGTGCTTTCGTGCTTTTATTTTTCCTACCTATTCTAGTAACCTCGAGGGGTTATTCTAGATTCATCGAACTAGTAGGTGAGCTCACGGGGCTCAAACCCCGATCGGAAACGCGACCCGCTGAGAAAATCCGGCGAGAAACCATTCGTGCTTTTATATATTCTTAATGTACCTAAAATGCAACGTGAGGTACATAACGTAATGCAGCTTAGTTAGGCTGCCGAGAGATCACGCAGCGCGCCCCGATGACACTTGCCCCAATTAGTTTCAATTCAGTTTCAAATGTTTTAATTATTAGAATTAAATAAACTTCTTTTTGGAACGAAGTTCCTTAATGGACGATATGGAGGTGTACCCTAATCGGGAAAAAACGTCCGTAACGTAAGATTAGTAATACACACAGTGTACGACTTAACTTTATAATAACGTACAAAAAATTACATATTTTTTTATCATTCATTGACCACGATCTCAGAGGTTTGCACGTTTGCGCAATACACTAACTCTTATGCAAACAACCGTGAATAAAGTGTACCACAATAATTTTGCACGTTACCGAATGACCGTGCGTTGTTGTGAAACCTCCAGTTTTATTTTCTTTATACCTCGAATAGAACTTAAAATTAATATTTTTATAATAAGGAACTTCGTTCCTATCCGATGTCGCATTACACCACACATAAAAAAAAAGCTTTTATAATAAATCTTCGTAGCAATGTGCACAAAAGCGGTCACTCACAATGCCGTTCTCTTCGACGTGAACAAACTTATAGTCGGGCGAGGCCTCCAGCACGACGACGGCCTCGATGTTCTGCAACTGGTAGTTGAACACGACCACGCGCAGGCCGACCTGCTCGCCCTGCCGACACGAGTCCGGTCCTTCCACTGTTATGAAGAACGGCTGCACTCCCACGTACTGGACGAGACACAATAGGTTCTTATTAGGACATCTATTAAATTGGGCCTTAGAAGTGGCTGCCAAAATTTTTTTTAAGTTATTTTATGACCTGGTAACTAAGACTTTTAGATCAAGTCTTATTTTAATTTTAATGAAACTTTTTTATATTAAAAATGTGAGAAGCAATAGTGAGATTCACGAATATTTAGATTTTTTTATCCTACCTATGCTGATAGCCTTGAGAGGCTATATCAGCGTCGCCTTCACTAGTAGGTGAGCTCGCGGGGCTCAAACCTGATGATGACGTTGCTAACACGAACCCTAGCAAGAGCCGTGCTTCGCAGAATCTACCACCTCTACTACTAGCTTCCAATCTACTACCAGCTTAACTAACCATAGACTATACACTAGTATGAGCCAATATAAGTATTGGCTGTATTATCTATGTGATGGAATTTCTTAACTTAATTTCAAACAATTTCAAGGCGTCCGATTAAATTGAAAATTTGTAAATATATCAAGGCCTAAGATCCTGACTAATATAAGCAATTTAAAAAAAAATACATTTTATTTTTTTGTTAAACTTGTTATTACGCGTTTTTGTTTTGTTTTTAAGCTATATTTATTATCAGATGAAGTTTAAGACAACACCTCTACACAATTACACCCCACCACAATTAATTTCGGTGTTCCATAATAAAACTTACCGTAATGGGTTCCGTCAGCATTCCTAGTCCAAGCGAAGGAGACATGCTGAAGGCTGACACGGTCCAATGTGCTGGCACCTTTGAGTGGAAGAGAGATAAAAATTTTAGCAGTTTAATGATCATGCTTATTCGAGTTAAAATCAAAATTCATTGGTAAAGTGTTTATCCGGACAATGAGTATCAAGGGGCATATTGTTACCTATTTGATTGACAATAAAAATCATGTGCTGTTTATGAGTTATTGAATTGATTAGATTAACAGATTGTTTCTCTATATCGTTGTTTTTTCGTTCAGGTTATATTACACCTAAGTTTTGGGTACATAAAGTACTTTAAGAACAGACTATAAATTCCCTATACCCACTACAACAATGCCTCAGAGGTAGGGATTTTGTTTGTATTTTATTAGTTTCTGACACAAGCATGCGGGACACTGAATGCGAAATACCTTTCACAGACATAGTCCAAATCATAATGAAGCCAATATATTAACAAGTTAAGTATTTCGTCCATGGGCAACGGTAACCACTCACCATCAGGTGGGCCGTACGCCCGTCTGCCTACAAAGGCAATAAAAAATATATATATATATATTTGATCTCCGGTCAACATTTTAACCCTCCATCTTTTTAATTTCTTTTTTTTCTCATACCTAAGCTGAGAGCTTTGAGAGGCTATTTCAGCGTAACCTTAACTAGTAGGCGAGCTCACGGGGCTCAAACCTGACGACGTTGCTAACACGAACCCTAGCAAGAGCAGTGCTTCACAGAATCTACCACCGGATCGGAAACGCGACCCACTGAGAAGATCCGGCGAGAAACTCAGTGGGCTAGCCCTCCGTCATCATCTCTTATTGCCTTCAGTTCCTACGTGGTCACAGAATTAAGATGTAGTGAGGGGGTCAGACCTGCGGCACGTCGAGGGTGAACACGTAGCGTCCGTGCGGGCCGATGTTGACGTCCCTCCAAGCCCACACGTTGTCGTACTGGCGCTGCACGCGGTTGAACCGGAACTTGCGGAAGTGACTCAGCTCCAGCTCGCTTCTCTCCTCCGCGCCTGCGCGAGCACGAGTACTTCAACATCGCCATGCGTTATACCAGCGGTCGGGGAACTTTTTTAATTATTACCCCAAAATATTTTTGTGTAAATTAATATTACCCCATGGCGAAGAACAAAAAAAACGAAATCGCTTCTTTTTAGCATCTTTCATATTATAGCCCCGATGATAATTTGGAAAAAAAAAAAAACCTTTAGTTTCATTTCGTTTCATCGAGTTGGAAATCACAACGATTCTAAAGAAGTTTCACTTCAATATACACTTTTTACTCACAAAAGTTTCATTTTTACCCCCCCAAATTTAATTTTGGGGTAATTTACCACGATTCCCCGACCACTGCGTTATACGAACAGTGTCGTCATACAACAGACGATAATGAAGAAAATAAAATTTAAAAATAGGACGCAATGCTGAGATCAATTGAATAATCAAGGTAAATTCACATGTATAACTTCACGCTTCACTGGAATAGCAAGATGTTTAGTTAAGACAACGAATATAATGTTCTTTTACGTTTATAAATTATTTAAAGCTTGAACGAAGAAGTTTTTTAATAAAGGGTATTTCAATTATTTATTAAATAAGACTTACAGTGACGATTAATTTTTTTAAATTGGGTTAGACCTTTTCAACAAAATATAGATTAAGGTTCTCGGTATTACAAAACATTATATTATTTTTTATATTATTTTCCTATTCAAAATTCAAGACTGCCAGATTATTTTTTTATTGCCTTCGTAGGCAGACTAGAACGCCGGTTAGCGTCGTTCATAGACGCCAGCAGAGACAAGCCGCGTTTCTTTTCCTACTTATTCAAGTAACCTCGAGGGGTTATTCTAGATTCAACGAACTAGTAGGTGAGCTCAAACCGGGAGTGTTGCTAACACTGGCCCTAGCAAGAGTCGTGCTTCGCAGAATCTACCACCAGATCAGAAAGCGACCCACTGAGAAGGCCCGGCGAGGGACCCAGTGGGCGCCGCTAGGTAGCGATGGTGACTCACAGTTGGCCTCGTCGGTCCTGTCGGCGCAGTCGTAGGCGGCGTCGCAGCGCTTGGCGAGCGGGTAGCAGGCGCCGTCCAGGCACTCGGCCAGCCCCAGCGACGCGTTGCAGGCGCCGCGCCGCCGCGTCACCGCCACGTCGCTCAGCACCGCCAGCCCCGCGAACCTGCGCGCGACACTCCTCACTCACTACCCGACATACGAGCTCGCCGCGAACCTCAACGCGAGGTCAACTGGACCAGAGAGCTACTACGCGAGCCCCAGTCATTTACCATGACTCCGAGAAACAGCGGTTGCGTGCGCCACCACTGCTGCGGCATTACTCATTATTCAACACATCTATACTAATACTATAAAGCTAAAGAGTTTGTTGTTTGAACGCGCTAATCTCAGGAATTACTGGTCCGATTTGAAAAATTATTTCAGTGTTAAATAGCCCATTTATTGAGGATACATAACATCACGGTAAGATCAATACAAGTGGAGCACCAATAAAGAATGTTTCAACATATTTTCATTGGGGGTAAAATTTTGCGTTATGCCAAAGTATTCAACTATTTCACGCGAACGGGGTCGTGGGCAAAAGCTAGTTTTAAATAAATAAATAAAACAATCATTCATTCATTCATTTCATTATTAAAACTCGATGAACACGCGTGTCTATTTATTTTGCGGTCCTAATATGACGTACCTTTTTTGTTTTGCTTAGATGGGTGGATGAGCTCACACCCCACCTGATGTTAAGTAGTTACTAGAACCGATAGACATCTACAACGTAAATACGGCACCCACGTTGAGATATAAGTTGTAAGGTCTCAGTATAGTTACAACGGCTACCCCACCCTTCAAACGCATTACTGGTTCACGGCAGAAATAGGCGGGGTGATGGTACCTAACCGTGCGGTGGTACCTAACTCACAAGAGTTCCTACCACCAGTAATTGCGCAAATTATAATTTTGCGGGTTTGATTTTTATTACACGATGTTATTCCTTCACCGTAGAAGTCAATCGTCAACATTTGTGAAATACGTATTACGTTAGAAAAATTGGTACCCGCCTGCGGGATTCGAACACCGGCGCATCGCTACATACGAATGCACCGGACGTCTTATCCTTTAGGCCACGACGACTTTTAACCCGGTCGAGCGCTTGCTCTTTGATCTTTGACGCGCGACCAAACTACCGAGTGACGATGACTCGCGTTCCCCAAGAGTACGCGTAGCCGCAAGTATGGACATGACGTTCCACGACGCGCGTCCCTAATGTACGCGCTATCTGTACGCAGCTTTACAGAAGCGAGATTCTATATATACTAGAAGCTATATTATTCTATACGAGAGGCTATACTACAAATCGACGCTTGAAAGGCAAACATGATTAAGCGACAATGCGTGAACTTTACAGTAGACTAATTTAAAGTTGAAATACCTGAAAAAAAATCTATTTTAACGAATCTAGCTGTAAGATTGAAATGATTTTAATAGACCTAGAAATATATATTTTTTTGCGCATCTAATATGGTTATTGCCTATCATTTATGTACAAAGCAGCTATTGTCGCTTAGTCACGTTTGCCTTTCAAGCGTCGATATAATAAAGTAAAACACACATACACACGCACGCACGCACGCACGCACGCACGCACGCACGCACGCACGCACGCACGCACGCACACACACACACACACACACACACGCGCGCACGCACGCAAGCACGCACGCACGCACGCACGGACGCACGCACACACACACTTGTTATGTACAATTGGTAGTATTGTAGTATAAAAAGTGCTTTTATGGAGGAGCGGAGTCTCCTAGTACAGGCTTGCACGCTAAAAAGGAGACTGCAATCAATGTATTGTTTTGAATCGCTTTTGAAATAAATAGAGAATTTTTGGCTTTTGTATTTTTGAGATTCAAGTGATGTGATGCACTCACTCGAAGGTCCTGTTGGCGTCGATCCCGAAGCTGGAGGAGGGGAAGTAGACCAGCTCGTCCGCGTCCCCGAAGTGCGAGCGCCACGTGTACGCGAACGTGCCGTTCGTGGATTCATCGAAATACGACATCTTTGATATCACCTGCACGTCAAGTTTATTATGCACTAACATGGTATGGTATTATTACTAAAAATAAAAAGGTCAAATTTGAGGTGTGACACGTTTTCAATGTTGTATCCGAGGAATCATCTGTTGATAAAAATATACAAAGATGCGACTCCGGTCTCATCAACTTACTAGTACTACCTACTGCTTTCCAATTATTAAATCAGGGTATATGAGTCCGCGCGGGTAGGTACCACAGCCCCGCCTATTTCTGCCGTGAAGCAGTAATGCGTTTCGATTTGAAGGGTAGGGCAGCCGTTGTAACCATACTCGAGACCTTAGAACTTATATCTCAAGGTGGTGGCATATTTACGTTGTAGATGTCTATGAGCTCCAGTAACCACTTAACACTTAACGGCTGTGAGCTCGTCCACCCATCTAAGTAATAAAAAATAAATAAAAAATATGTACTTGTAAGGTTAGAAGTGGGATGGAACCACGAGGATCCCGCATTCTGGGTCTCCACGCTCTCACTTCTGCGTTGACTTGTATTAACATTATATTTATATTTAGTTACACTTTTGTTAATTTGTAATATTTTAAGCTCACATATTGTCACTTTTAAGCGATCCGTGAATTTCCGTTTAATTTATATCTAGTAATTATGTATTTTTGTGAATCCGAAGTAAAGCTTGTTGTAGTCTTTGTACGAGGAGCACTACTGCTTGAAATACAGATTTTATCACCTAGTTCAAGCGCAGATGCAAATTATGATTGTGTTTCTACTTCTATGTTAACAATAAATCTATACCTATAAATAAAATTGGAGTGTCGGTTTGTAATATTGAAATAACCGCTTTTTACTACATGCATATGAATATATATACGGTACATACACCAAAATAACATTTTTTACAATCTTTGTCTGTATGTTTATTTGTTCTGGCTAATCTCTGGAACGGCTGGACCGATTTTGATGAGACTTTCACTAATAGGTAGCTGATGATATAAGGAGTAACTTAGGTTACTTTTTTTAGACTAGCTTCACCCCGCGGCGTCATCCGCAGTTATTGTCGTACCGCGCGCAACATGGCGGGTTTCGCCTATCAATAATAAAATAAAATTTAATATTTCCGAAGCGAAGCGAGGGCGGGTCGCTAGTAACTAAATAAAAATGAATAAACCTATATTCAATGCCGCGAGTTTTGCGATTGAGTTCACACTGCGAGCACGCACCTTAGCGTATGTGAGTTCGTTCCCGGCCTGCATCGTGTAGAAGGCGTGGTCCAGCCCGGACAGTCCCACGTAGGCCCCGGGCTCGCCGTATATAGCCACTTCCACTTTCTCCCCGGTGCGGTGCTTGCGGTTGTTGATGAACACTGTGAACTGTGGAGGAGACGTGATGTTACTTCATCGCGTGCGGTCGCAGGCTTGTGGCCCGGGGGCTACTGCGCTGCGGACCCACGTTGTTCCTGGAGACTCCGTTGACGGGGAAGGTGAGCGAGTCAGCCACGACGTGTCCGCGGCGGTCGGCGCTCCACACCACGACGCTGGCCACGGGCGCCATCTCCGCCGACAGCGTCACCGCGAACGTGCGGACGCCTTCCTGCGGGCGCAGTTCATTTCAATTGTTAAAATATCGATTAATTGTTCTCTGTCTTTTAATCAATGTAAACTAATTTTTTTATTATCAGTAGTCTGATTGAAATACATGTTCATGCACAATTGTTTTTGAAAAAAAAAAAAGAAAGTTTTTTGCATAAAATATCCATAGTATTAGTAATAATAAAGTTTTAGAATACAATTAAAAATCGATTTTTTTTTTTAAATGCCCAATTATTGTCCACTGTGCTAAGATTTAATGGTCACCGACAGGTCCACTAGATGCGCTCTGCGTTGTTTATATATTATGTGTGTAACAAACCGTATCTTAGGATATGTAGATGCACAATATATAGATTATAGAATTTCTACAAATTAACCAGGGCTTGTTGAAACGCTCGTGTTCTGGCCCGCGCGGTCCACCGACTGTATATAGATGTAGTCAGCGTAACGAACAAACAAAAGAATGTTAACATAAGTAGGTCTCACCTGCATTATCTCTTGTGCGCTGGTCAATATAATGCCCTTGGACATCACCACGTAGTTGAACGACTCTATGTAGAAGTTGCTTTGCACGTGGAAGATTATGTATTCGCCGACCTGATAACAAAAGTGCAGTGTAGTGCGTCGTGTGGTGCCTCAAGGGCCTCTCGGGGCGAGCACCGGACACTTCAATAGTATGTGGGATACTCTTCGATTCCGAGCAGAACACACTGACGCTACAAAATTGAGGGACCCGCCTGAGAAGGCTTATGTGTTCCACCTTTTTTATCTTTTTCCTACCTAAGCTGATAGCCTTGAGAGGTTATATCAGCGTCGCCTTAACTAGTAGGTGAGCTCATGGGACTCAAACCTGATGTCGTTGCTAGCATGAACCCTAGCAAGAGCAGTGCTTCGCAGAGTCTACCACCGGATCGGAAACGCGACCCACTGAGAAGATCCGGCGAGAAACTCAGTGGGCTGTGTTCCACCACTGATATTTGTTTTGTACTTGGTCTCACTGCGTGTGTTTCCGATCCCCGTAACACGAGATCAAATCTTAGTTGAAGCGTTTGAAACATTTAATTCTCACCTTCGCACTGGTGGTGGTGGTAGATATCTTGATCTGCTGGTTGTTGGGGCTGTAGTGCGCGATGAAGTGCACGTCGGCGGAGGCGTGGTAGCCGCCCACGTCGAGCAGCTGGGCGGTCAGCCGGATCCCGGTTATGCTGTTCAACACTTCGCGGTAATTCGGATCCGACTGCAAGTCTGTAAGAGNGCGTTTGAAACATTTAATTCTCACCTTCGCACTGGTGGTGGTGGTAGATATCTTGATCTGCTGGTTGTTGGGGCTGTAGTGCGCGATGAAGTGCACGTCGGCGGAGGCGTGGTAGCCGCCCACGTCGAGCAGCTGGGCGGTCAGCCGGATCCCGGTTATGCTGTTCAACACTTCGCGGTAATTCGGATCCGACTGCAAGTCTGTAAGAGGTTGAGTAAGGTGAGAGGAGGGCGGCGAGCGCACAGGGGCACGTGCCGGGCGGGTACACAGTTTACTGATGGGAGGACCTCTTGTGAGTCCGCACGGGTAGGTACCACCACCCCGCCTATTTCTGCTGTGAAGCAGTAATGCGTTTCGGTTTGAAGGGCGGGGACAGCCGTTGTAATTATACTGAGACCTTAGATCTTATTTCTCAAGGTGGATAGCACATTTACGTTGTAGATGTCTATGGGCTCACATTCATAGTTATTTCCTTCCTTACTTCCACATTCATAGTTAACACTCTCACATGTCCATACTATCACAAACGCGCACATCTCAGTTTCTCTGCCACAGGTGCCACTTTCAGACTTCCTCTAACATATTCATTCCGTATTCTATCCATTCTCGTAACTCCACACATCCATCGCAACATTCGCATCTCTGTTGCATGCAATCGCCTTTCATCCGCCACTTTTGTTGTTCAACAAGCTGATCCATACAACACACAGCTCGTCCACACATCTAACTCACGCAGCAGGTTGTAGAGGTCGAGCTTGAGGTGCCACACGTGTGCGTGTCCGGGCACGGGCGCGGGCTGCAGCGCGTCCAGCGTGGCGGAGCGGCCCTCCAGCTGCGCCGTGACCCGCAGCGCCAGGCGCGCCGCCCGCGCCGCCTCCACGCGCGACCCGTCGTGGTACGACACCGCCATCTGCACACGCGCGCAGCACAATACGAGCCGTGTATATAATGGTAATAGACTAAAAATCTCTAGACTACACAATAAAGTCATAGGTCCTCAGTAGGTTATGGCGCGAGTAGGCTGTTCGATGGGCGCGGTAGGGGAGGGAATCAGCAATCATCAGCAACAGAGCGAGGAACACAAGCTAACAATTGAACTAAGTGACACCGAAGTTTGGAAACTTCGAATTACTTACAGATAGTAGGAATTTCAAATATTAACACTAATAAAAGATAATTTGTAACTATTGAACCAATTCTAAAGAAATCATTCTTTAGAATCACACACATGTGTAAATAGATAATATATAAATTATTAGAAAAAAAAAACTCACGTAAACATCAAAAGGCATGGCCGGCTTGAAGACCTGAGGGCTCCCTCCTAAGAAAGTGACAGCCAAGGAAGAGTTGAATATCCTGGCAACACTGTACCCTTCGATGACATCGTCCAGGAAGGGATCTCCGACGGCGGCCGTCACTATGACTTCCACCCCGTCCAGGCTGGGGACCAGCTGCGCCAGCTCCGACATTGGGTATTTGAAATCGTATGTGCCATTGAACTGTTGGGAAGAAACGTAAATAGCACATTGATATTTCATTACTTGAAATCATGTTTGATAAATATCATGTCTAGTTTCATCTCATGTTTATTGACAGAGAATTTGAACACTAGTTTTGGCAGTGGTGAAACTATTTGTTAATAATAAAAAAATGTGATGTTTACTAACAATAATAAATGATATATCATTACAAAAACAATAATAATATATTGGTATTGCAATATACACACATATATATTTGTGCAAAAGACAGCCTCTTGTTCAATCTACAGGAAATATATTAGTTGAATACACTTTATTATCATATGAATAACAGATGATTGATGATTAAAGAGAGGTCTCCTAAATAAATTCCATAAATTGGATGAAGACTGCATTCAGAATGTTCTTATTATTATTTATATTCAAAATAATTAGCAATAATATTAAACTATTATAATACTTACTCATAGAAATTTTAACAAAAAATGGATTAGTTTCATTTTAAACAATTAATTACGATACAATAAGTATGTAAGTGCTGAGATTAGAGGTTTTTATAATACCACATACTATAACTATAGCTAATCAGTACTTTTCGTTTTGATATCATAGTGGGCTCAAAATCATTTCAATGTTGGCTAAAATCGATATACAGATTTTGGAATGGAACATATGCGTTAATACCTATACTAGCATGCTATTTGTATATTCTTTATATTAATAAGTATTTACAAAACAACACATAATTTATTTTTATTTTTTATTTAATATTAATATTCTTAAATTTCAATAATACAAAATAAATGTAAAATGACACTTAGCTAGATAGCTCTAGTCCAGTCTCAGAACAGGAAGAATTTCCTACAATGACTCCTCTACCTACTGACAGTGGTCACAAACATTTTTGTATTAAATGCAGTTTACATAAAATGTTTGAAAGAGAAAAAAATTTACTAACTTATAAAATAAATTATTGTTAAAAAACTAATTATTTATTTAGATATTATAACAATTATAAAAATCGAGTTATAATCACTAACTTAGCAGAAATAAAAAAAAAATTAAAAAATCAGAATCCGATTCCTCTGTATCGGAGTTACTGCTTTTGGCGACGTCTCGCCTGTCACATTTATTATAAAAGAATCAACAGCTTTGTCTACATTATCATCTAGTCTCATTTCGATTCCTCTTTTTATACGTGACTGATGGAATTTTGGCATTTTTCTGCTGAAATGTTGCCTCAAGGCCAACACGCGAACAAGAACAAACCTTACAGTCTCAGGTAAAAGGTTTACAATCCCTGAGGACGGTGGTCATTGCATCTGTGCGAGAGAGACTCATTATATTTCCGCAGGAGTGACAAAGACAGGTAATAACAGGTAATAACGTACGAAATTCTTCGTTCTCCGCGACTGGACTATAGCTACCCAGCAGTGGGACTAAAACCAAGAGATACTTACAAATCTCAGATAGGGTAGCTGGTCGTTGTACTGCGCGGAGTAGTAGGAGTAGCCGGTCGCGGGGTACGGGTTGTAGGCGTAGGTGCCCTGCTGCTGCTGCACGGCGTACTCCGTAGGGTCGGGCTTCGGCATCCAGAAAGGATATTTTTCATCCTGTGTATAAAAATATTTATTATTATTATTGTTCAGTATGTCCCTAAACGCTGTGCTTAGTGCGAGTTTTTTAACGTTCTCGATAGCGTAAAAGTTAACTAGAATTTGTATGGTATGCAGTTGGAACATTTGCCTACGTTTGCCGCTAGGGCCGCTGTTCCAATGGCATACATTAAAAAACTCGGACTAAGCAAACAGACGTTTAATAGTAATTTTTAATATTTCATAATAATTGAATGCAAAATATAGACGCGTGAGTTTGGTTTTAATTTACAAAAATCTGAAGTGAACAGAGTTTTCATGAGTTCTCATTGTTCATTGTTACAATTACAAAGTTTGTTTACTGTAATGTAAAGCCTTTTTGGTATGTATTTTGTTTTATAATTATAAGAACGTGAATTTTAATAAATAAAGCAAAATTTAAGAAAGAAGTAAGAGTTACTTCGGGACCTGTGACAATGATGTGCTTGAAAGGCCTCAAGTTACTATGGGTAATTAGAAACGTCAAACACTATAATTATGTTTTTAATTAAAAATATAATTTTATTTTGTTTACTTACCTATTTGAAATAATACAAATAATGCAAATAACACAAAGTATAAAATTTCCTAAGGTAGAAACGTATGCCAATGCGAGTTTTTTGAAGAGAGGCAGAGTATGGTGGACTTACAAAGTTGAACATCCTGGTGACGACCTTGGTGTGGTCGTACCACCAGTCGGGCTGGTCCAGCTGGTTGTGCTGCCCCGCGACGTAGCGCCGGTCCGCGCCGCCCTCCGCCGGGCCCGGCCCCAGCTCCGACCCGTACGTCTCGTTGTACAGACTATTCGGCCATGCTGCAGGTGGAAACGACGTCACGGTTAGTATTTCTGACCGCTTTATCGAAATATCAGAATAACAAATAAAACGGACCTTTATTTACAAAGATAAATGTCGCGTATTAAACGAAATGTCGCTTAAGCCAAATAACCTTTCACCCCTCAATATGTGTTACATACTTTTTTTCCTACCTAAGCTGATAGCCTTGAGAGGCTATATCAGCGTCGCCTTAACTAGTAGGTGAGCTCACGGGGCTCAAACCTGATGACGTTGCTAACACGAACCCTAGCAAGAGCCTTGCTTCGCAGAATCTACCACCGGATCGGAAACGCGACCCACTGAGAAGATCCGGCGAGAAACTCAGTGGGCTGTGTCTGAGGATTAATTTACTCGTCGAGCCCTTCGTCGCAAGCGACGGGTTTGACGAGAACGGTGACCGGTGCTTGAGGTGCCTAGAAGCACCGTTAGTGGATCGGGAGGATCCGAAATGACGTGTTTGGGGCGACGTCGACTGCTTTCCACTCTGTTCGCAGGATCGGGCATGGGAAGGTTAGTAAAATGCGCATAGACAATAGGGACCGACCTCTTGTGTACTGAGAGCCGGCGGCCCCCGCGTCCCCGTAGTGCCCCCGGTTGTTGAACTGTCCGCGGCCGTAGTGCGGGGGCCGGTACTGCGGGATGGGGCGCACGGTCGCCTTGAGCGTGAGGTTGCCGCGCACGGGCGCCCCCGACGTGTAGTTGGCCACGACGCGGCCGTGGATGTACTGCTCCGTGTTGAAGAAGAACGCCGGCATCGTCACGTTCACCTGGTTACGTTCATATCGAAATTAGGTCTATCGAAAATCGCATTGGAATAGGTAATATCGGACTAGGTAATATCGGTAATATCGGAATAGGTAATATTGAAATAGGTAATATCGAAAATCACATTGGAATTTTGAACCTCTTTTTTTTTACCTAAGCTGATGGTCTTGAGAGACCATATCAGCGTCACCGGGCGAGGAATTTTGTGTTACTGAGTAGGAATAACTATCGAAAAAGTATTCGTATCGCTATCGAGAAAAAATGTATAGGATTTAAACAGCGCCCCTCCCGTTCGCAAAAAGAATTAACTTCACCGGCACGAATGAATTTACTTACTTTCGTTTCGCAATCGAATAGTCACATTCGCGAAACTCGAAATTTATACTCATCATCGAGAGCACGAAAATTGTTTTGACATGCAGTAACGTAAATCTCGAAGGATGGCTATCGGGTACTACCGTCTAATGCAGCCTTTCTCAAAGTGGGCGATAACGCCCCTTTGTGAGCGCTGTAGGCCTAAATGGGGGCGGAAAGAGACCCAGAAATAAAATAGGGGCGTTGTGTAAGGGCTTGGGAGGCGATTTGTAATTTCATCTAGGAGGACTCTTAGACACCGACTGAGCTCTTGCTATAATGGTTTATAGTAGGTGAAAAAATGGGGGCGCTAAAACATAATTTATTCTCAAAGTGGGCAGTAGACAAAATAAGTTTGGGAGCCCCTGGTCTAATGTAATCCGTTTTCTATCGAGAACTCGATACATTCACATTACGAAATCGATAGATTTTCGTATTATATTTGGTGAGTACACACTACAGCGTCACTTAATGGTTCAAGGTGCGCATTTTATAAATCAACGAAGGTTCATTACAATCATACAAAACAAATTATCGACCTATTTTATCAAACTACAATAGATAATTTTTTATTAAACATTATAAGCCAATTCACATATTGGATATACAACATATTTCCTGTCTCATGACTCTCACTAGCCCATCCTTCGATTCACCAATTCAGATCAGCCCTACATAAACGACAGTATGTACGGCTTGAGGTAAAAACAATACTGTTAAAGTTTAGATGTAAGTTCGAACCCACCTCATATCTTGTCTGGTAGTACTCTTCAACCAAAAACTGTGACTCTTCTACCTGTCCCAGGGCTTCAACCTTGACGTACCACTCTCCGAACAAGGGTTGGTCAGACAACTGATACTGAAGGCTAACTGTTCCGAAGTTGCTCTGAGAAAAAAAGTTTTATATCAGGATCCAAGCTAAAAGGGATGGTGTTTCTATTTTAAGTACTAATGTGGCAGAAAATGTGAACTTCTGTAAGGGTGTTGCCTATTTCTATCATGAAGTAATCACTCTGCACTTTGATTCAAGCACTATCATCAGCTTGCCTCATACCTCAAGATGATTTTTTTCTATGTGGTTATGAAGTGATATAAAAAGAAAGAATTATATCTCTCTTCTACATCAAATTATATTGAATTATTTTTAGACTATTTTTAAATATGTTAAGATTAGGTTACAAAAACAATAAAGTCTACAACGTTAAAAAGAAACAAGGGTACTTACACATTTCCGATAAAAAAGAATGAAACCTGGTAGCGTTATACTCATATTAAACAATACCACATTAGCCATTGACATGAGTTCCATCTCTTGTTACAACATGAACACAATCAGATATTACTATAAAATTTCTAATAACTTTCCTAAACATGAGAAGAGGATGAGATAGACAGCTCAAATAACTAATATTCAATGAATCACCTTACATACAATAATATAGTTAACACATTTTTAAAAGTAATTTTTAATTTATAGTTTAATATTATATCCATTTGGCATTGTCCTACTTGATAAAATATACTTCAAGACTGCTTATCTGTCTTATTTTGACTATGTAGTATTGACCTAAAATAGACATGGCTAAGGTGTCTAGGAAGATCAGAAGTCTTCGTGGCCAAATGGATAAGACGTCCGGTACATTCGTATGTAGCGATGCACCGGTGTTCGAATCCCGCAGGCGGGTACCAATTTTTCTAATGAAATACGTACTTAACAAATGTTCACGATTGACTTTCACGGTGAAGGAATAACATCGTGTAATAAAAATCAAACCCACAAAATTATAATTTCCGTAATCACTGGTGGTAGGGCCTCTTGTGATTCTGCACGGATAGGTACCACCACCCCGCATTTCTGCCGTGAGGCGGTAATGCGTTTCGGTTTGAAGGGTGGGGTAGCCGTTGTAAGTATACTGAGACCTTAGAACTTATATCTCAAGGTGGGTAGCGTATTTACATTGTAGATGTTTATGGGCTCCAGTAACCACTTAACACCAGGTGGGCTGTGAGCTCGTCCACCCATCTAAGCAATAAAAAAAAATAAAAAAAATATGGGCAGTAATATTCTCGAAATGTGATAGTGTGATCGCCAACTGCCATTCAGTGATAGCAGGGTGTGTCGTGAGCTCTTGAGGTTGGGTGTCATTTTACTTTTGATTTGAAAGTTGGAGTTGCCATTATGATATATTATTTACAATTTATTCTTACCTGTCTGGAAAGCCACCTCTTCATGATGCGGCGATTCGGATCCAAAATGTACACGTCTATGGCATGTCCAAACGCTTTTAGCTCTGTATTGATCGGAATCACTCTGAAGCGTACTGAAAGTAATTTGAACTTATTGAGACTCTTTAAAGCAAATTTTCTAATCCCAGAAATTTATATAAATTCAGATCTTTAATATATTGTTAATTTATGAATGAATATGAATATTTTTTAAATATTATATTTATGAATGACATATTTATCATTACCATATATTATATTGATTATTTATTGTAAGACGTGAGGTTTTTACTAGTTCAGTCATAATTAAAATCATTTTTAAGGCTTTAATAATTATGGTACATATGTAAAGAAGGCTTAAAAAAATTAAATTGGCAGACAGTGTCATAGCCTTTCTGATGTTAAGCAGCTACCGGAATGCAGACACAAGAGTGTGAATATAAGATATTAATCTTGATTCTAGGAGTCAGTCAACAATAATTAATGCTTCTTAAGCTGTTCTTAATGTAAAAAAATCAAAATTAGTACATGGGGTTGACACACATGTGTTGTACATGTTGTACTATGTTCAATCAACAGTTACAATTTCCGCTGTAAGGCCATTTGTAGTTGTTGTATATTGTATTTAAAAACTGATTTTTCTTCTTAGTCTCCGCCTTACCCCACTAGATTGAGTCGGCACAGTGAATTTTTCTATTCGATTCTCCTCTATCAGTCGTCATCTCAACACTCATTCCTCTTTCTTTCATATTGCCATTGTTGAAAACTGATAGAGTAATGAAATAAAATGCCTGATTATAGTAATTATGACAATTCGCTTCACCTGTTTGCCCCTGCATATATACTGGCTTGTCCATCTGTATGAATATGGTCATGAACCTATTAGAGAATGTCAGTTGTGTTTCATTAATGAACGCCCTGCCTCCATATGGTGTGTCTAAGTACAAGCCCTCAACACGAAGCCGGTAGTCTCCTTTAACTGTTGTTGGCGGTACCTGGAAATTATTCATGCATTAACAAGAGTATTCCTGTAGAGATCATTGAAATATGAAATGCAAAATTAAACCATAAATCTGGTATGATGTCATAGACATAAACATGTCTAAATTATCCATTTATTTACTGTGCACAGAAATAATTCAATAATTATAGTAATTTTATTAACATTTACCCTCATATTTAGTATTTCGGGCACACCCTCTTTTACTTTTTGTGTGACTTCAGCTACTTCAACTCCATTGCATGCAATTGAAGCTCTGATTGTCATTTCTAGCTGAGTCTGCAGAATGTTTGCGGATATCTTGTATATCTGGCCAGGTCTTACCATACGGGATGCTACTATGAAGTATGTGCTGCAAAAAAGTTATTTTAATATATAAATTCATATAGAAATAAGAAAAGTGTGGTAAATATATTTTTATAAAATAACATAAATATTAGTTTTATAAAATAACAATTGTCGAATTCAACATTTCAAAAATTAATACCTTTAATTTTTTTTAATTTGTGTTAAATTTCAATTCCTTGTTAAATTTCATCAAAACCTTATGTAGTGAAAAAATTGCTTTATCTTCTATAATTATTATTGATCTTCTATTATTACTACATAAATGAGTATTGATTATTCACAATCCACTAGCTATTAATTTGTTACCAGAGTGTAGGGACATCAAAAAACAAAATTTGTAAAGATCATCAATCACAATTTCATATACAAACCAAAACATTGCTCAATAAAAGAAAGTTTCAATAAATTTTGTACAAAGACTGGCTTGCTTTTTATAGGTGTTTGTTATGATGGATCTATATTAAAATGACATTTATCATACATCTACATTGCATTTTTTTTCTATATACCTTGTGTACTTTTATCAGCAAGTGTCTTCTCACTGCATTGATGAACAAACAAAAAAGTTGTAAAATTAATTTATATCTATTTTAATATAATACTTACGCTTGATGAATTATTACACTCTCTTGCTCCAAAGCAGCATTTCTATAAGAACTACCGTAATTCCTGTTAGAATCCCATGAGCTCTTTGGTGTCACATCTGGACTGTAGGAATTCTGATTGAACGGTTCATTTCTATTATCATACTGGAATCTCTGATCCGTGTTATCATATTGATTCCTGTTTAATTCATATTGATTCCTGTTCAATTCATATTGATTCTTATTTTGGTATTTACGGTTTGGGTCATATGGATTATCATATCTTGGATCGTTGTAATTATTTGTGTTTTGAGTAATATCTGGATTATAGGTTGGCTGTGCATAGTCTTGACTTGTACATGTTTTTAATATGGTAATTATGAGTAATAATTTGAGATTCATGATTCAGTCTTCGTCTTCCTTTACCTGGAAAAATAATTTATATAATTCTTTACACAAAAATTCAATTGTGTTGTTCTAAAATCCTAACAAGAGTATCCATGTAGAGTACTACAATACAATGTCCTGTACAATGATATTGATGGGCTTTGAGTTTCTTATTTTGCACATTCTATTCTTAATAATTTAAGAAAAATATAAAAACTAGTACTTTTGTAACTTTAGTAACATCAAAAGTAGTGTGGTGGATGTAAGTTTTTCGTATTCTTTAACACCAACAGAACTTGAATAGCAATGTAACAAAATCTTGACCCGTATTTTATTATTAGTGCATAGATAAAACAAATTTAGTATATTTGTTTATTTTATGAACATGTGTTGCAGTCTGCATTACGTTTTTCACCATGTTCCATGAAGAAGTACAAAGAGTTTTATTAATAACGTAAAGTATTAATTATAGAATTAACATTAAACTACAATATACAATATACAACAACATAAAAAACAAACGAAAACGTAATTTATAAAAAATGCCGAAAAGTTATCTAATGCAAGTTTCAAATTACTGAGCCCGGTAAATACAAGATTTTTTTAGCGTAGTTTCACTAGGGACTAATAATACTGTTAAAACCAGCCTGATCTAGGGATACTTGATTAAAAAGTATAAATCCTGATTAGCCCTATCTTTAATTTAATAATAACTTAAAACTTACTTGCTTAACCGGAGGTTAACGCCCATATAGGCAAGCCCCTTTTGTTATTGTATAATTTCGACTGACATTTGTGTCAGGAGCCTTTTTAAAGCCTTTGTGAGTCGACGCCAACTACGGTTTGTTTCAAACTCTTTAAAATTTTACGATTTTCTCATAAATAAACAAGACCGTTACAAACGGCCTGTAACTCAGTCACTTACAAACTTAATTGAAAAAATGCGTTTGTAGCGCAACCCGGCACAGCACTATTACGACCGTACCACGCCCGCCTGTCAACTCAAAACCAAGTAGAAAAACCGGTAAGTTCCGCTAGAAAATTGTCGGCAGAATAATTTAAAATCTGTGCATACATTTTGAAAAGTTTGTTAATGGAAAATTTTCAACGACGTAAATTCAGAGTTTGATCCAAAAACGTGTCTCACATTTTGATATGATTGTTTCTTAGTGTATTTGGCTATCGCTAACAGGGACTGATGCTTCTTTAATATGAGTATATTAAACTAATCAAAAAATTACATACATAATTAAAAGAATGTTATATTATCTTTGACAAATGCATTACATATAGCTGTAATCAGAGGATATTCAAAATGATTAGTTCAGGTTTGCGGTTGGAGTATCTTACGTGAGAATAGTATTACCTATTCAGCTTTTTAAAATTCTGTGTGTCTATGCCTTTTCCATTCTCATCGAAAAAAATAGAGCTAGCAAAGAGCCTAGAGCAAAGAGAAGTAATCTTAAACATACACAGCTAAGTATATGTGATTATAGAAATATGTAAAGCCATGGTAACGATGTCTACACAGCGTAGTTGCAGTAAGCTATAGTATACGTAATGGTGGTTGGTCTTGTGAGTCCGCATGGGTAGGTACCACGGCTCTGCCTATTTCTACCGTGAAGCAGCTAGGTTTGAAGAGCAGGGTACCCATTTTACTATAAATCTGAGACCCAAGAAGTCATGTCTCAAGATGATACGTTGTAGATATCTAACACTTAACACCAGATGGGCCGTGAACTAGTCCACCTATCGAAGCAAAAAAAAAACATAGCTTAACGCTGTTAACCAGCAAAATATACTGTTGAACTGTAGTTTTTAAATTATTTTTATATATATGTATATTTTTTTTACTGCTTATATGGTCGGACCAGCTCACAGCCCACCTGGTGTTAAGTGGTTACTGGAGCCCACAGATATCTATAACTTAAATGCACCACCCACCCTCAGATATAAGTTCCAAGGTCTCAAGTATAGTTACAACAGCTGCCCCACCCTTCAAACCGAAGCGCATTACTGCTTCACGGCAGAACTAGGCAGGGTGGTGGTACCTACCCGTGCGGACTCACAAGAGGTCCTACCACCAGTAATTACGCAATTTATAATTTACAAATTCTATTATATATATAGAGAGGGATAATGATCTAGTCTAATGAGGTTATTCAACAGAGAACTAAAATTACTGACGTAGCTCAGAGAGTTCAGGTTGTCGCTGAAGAGACAATGCCAACAATAGGTGGAACAAACTGGTTCTTCAGTAGAGCCCGCACACCAGCCTACGTAATGTGGAATGCGCCCCGGCTAGATGCAATGATGACTTGCGAAAGATGGTCGGTAGGAAATGGATAAGAAGAGCCGAAGCCTCAGCTGAGTTGTAAATTGGGAGAAGCCAATATCGCCAGCTTTACTGACGTTTAGATAATGTCTACGGTAGAGTAAAGGTATCACCACTCCATAGAGTTACTATTTTAACTACTTATTTAACTCCATGCACCACCCTTATCGCTTTATCAGTTGTCACCACTAATGCTCACAGATTAATTTAATATTTAGGTGGTAGGTACCATGAAGTTAATAAGTTATAGGTACTTATTAACTCCATGCTACATAAGTAGGTACGTGGTAGGTACCTACCTACTTACCTGAAGCAGACAATGACTGATGACGTTCTATAAATTGACATTTTTTTAAAGGGATTTTATGACCTGGTAGCTGAGACCTTTAAGTCATGTCTTATTTTAATTTATATTCATATTTTTAAGAAAAATGATATTATGGAGTGAAATGATATGAAGATGATTAATTTGAGACATTAATCAACTGGGATGAAATTGTTGAGATATAGCACTAGCTGCGTGTCGCCGCACTAGTAATGTTGACTTGTTACCATGGATACATTCTCTACTTAATAAGATTGTGTCGTGTGAATAAAATATAATTTGTGATATTAAAAAGTCTGCTTATTCTTCCATATAAAATCTTAACATGGTAGCAGAGCGTGGTTAGTAAGTAAATAAAAATATATTGGGTTGCGATCCACTAGAAATAATATCGGCGAAAATTATTAAAAAAAAAAGAAAGATGACAACTGCGGGGTCTCTTCTGCCGATTTTGACTGAAAATTCAAATTTTAGTCATTGGAAATTTAGATTGAAATTACTGCTGCAAGAAAAGCAATTAAGCAATGTATTCTTAAAAGAGAAACCGACGGATAAAGATGACTCACGAGCAAAATCAATTTTGGTACAATGTCTGAGCGACAAATATATTGACATTGTAAAAAATGCGAATACGACCAAAGAAATGTTAACGTCATTGGAGGCCATATTTGAACGAAAAACAGTCTGTAACAAATTTTATTTAAAACGGAAGCTCATAACAATGCGCTATGATAATGAAAGCAACTTACAGCAATTTTTCCTAAAATTTGAAGGAATTTTTAGCGAATTAGCGGCAATCAACGTAAACGTCGAAGTAGAAGACCAAATTTGCTATCTGCTGTCTTCTTTACCAAAGATATACGATCAATTAATTACATCAATTGAGACTATGGGTTCCGAGAAACAACTGAACATAGAATTTGTTAAAGCAAGACTACTCGATATGGAGACAAAGTTAAAAATGGACAGAAATAGTGAATTTTATGAGAATAATGCTTTTATAACGTGCCACTCCTGCGGAAAACGTGGACACAAATCATTCGAATGCCGAAGATCAGGACGAGGACAAGGGCCGAGTAGAGGACAGTCATTGACACGAGGACGGAGCTATCCAAGATCGCGTGGACGCTCATTTAGAGGAAATTCAAGTTCACGACATACAACGTATCAACATACTTCAGCAACAGGCAGAGACGACAAAGAAATAGGTTTCATTGCTAGCGATATTATTGCTAATGTGGGTGAATGTGGCAACATAGAACTAATTATAGACTCAGGATGTACGGAGCATTTAATAAATGAAAAATATGAAAATTATATGACGGATATTACATATTTAGATAAACATGTCAAAATATTCGTAGCTAACGGCCAATGTATTACAACTAGTAAAAGAGGTAAACTTAAAGTAAAATATCAAAATACTACGATTAATATTGATGCTCTAATTGTGAAAGATGTTTCATACAATTTATTATCAGTAAAAAAGATTGTCGAGGCAGGTTTTAACATAAACTTTAATAAATACAATG